AAAAAAAAAAAAAAAAAAAAAGGAAGATTAAGGTGCTGGTTCTGGGGGAGTTTCTTTTCTTTGACTTTTCGGCTTAGCGAGAAATTAGTCAAATAATTGCTCTTTCACAGAGTACCAATGATATCAGCTACTGGATTCCACTTGTGGGTTTGGTATGCGAAAGGGATATTACAGGCAGGCAAGAGAAGGAAGTTGAAGTTGGGGAGAAAAGAAAAAGTGGGAGAAAAGAGAAGGACAGACAGGCCAGGGGTGTGAAGAATTTGGCCTGTCATTCCCGACCCACTGTGCACGCGGATGGTTTCATGCACCAGACAACGTGGGCCAAGTGCAAAGGTGGATGGATCTTCCTTTGGGGCGATCACTGAAGTCGCTCTTCCTTGCAGAGTTCCAGGGTATTACCTTACACTGATGCTGTATCAGTATGTAATGACCATACGGTCAATACAGACTCCAGTATCTGTATTGATCATAGTTTCTTGCTGATGTTTTCTATCTGGGGTATTATCATAGTCTGTATAGAACAGCTGATTGATCCTCTATCCTACTCGCAACCCTCTCACATATTGTGGTCAATTGAGTTCTCCCATCAGAAGCTTTTGAGAAGCATTCTGACTCCTTTGAATGTCTCAACTCACCGCATTGCAGATAAGCAAGAAGTGGTCAAATGTTAGCTATACCTCTGTCACCGCTATCATGGTTTACACCATGATTGATACACATCATACCAGTCTGACCAGTGGCTACTAACATACAAATAAGTGGGGATGTTTCCAAACACTGCAAGCGTCGGATGATCAACCCAATCTACGGCTGGGGACTTTCACCAGATCGTCAACTCCATCTCCAGATACTGCCAAAATATGAAGGTAGGCAAGGGATATTAGCTATTGATGGGGTAAGAACAGGTACGAGATCAAGAATAGAAAAAGAAGAAAGTAAACGGAGGGAGACAAAGAAAAGATCAAGAAAAGAAGAGCTATACAAGGATCGAAGTTGGGAAAGCATTGCTCCAACCCCACCAACCAACATACCGAATTTTTCATTCCTCTGTATGACTCTCTATATTGAACTCTTCTGCCGTGCCGAAAGATCTTGAATGATTAAGGCGGTACAGTTTACCTCTATCGTCCCCACCGTCCTATCAGTCCTGGGTCTACCTCATTGACCCGAGTCAGGCCGATGGGAACTCAGGCTCAGCGGGATCGACCAGATTAATTAACATGCTGCCTGAACATATCATCTGGCACAATCTCTGGAACAGGAGCCCAAGAATCACCCGAACAAAAGAAGCCTTTCTTGAACCATACATTGCCTACTTTAAGATTCTACCTAATTGGCATAAAATACTCCTCGCTTCCCATCACCAACTCGAGCACCATGGTAGAATCCCTTCCCCTTCCAGCCGTGCTAAACCTGTGGATGTCCACTCGATCCAGTGCAAGCAAACAGCGATCACTAGGTCGGATTGAGTCATTCCCGGGAAATCCCCAATCAATTTCTCCAGCCAAACAGGACGCCGTGGGAACGAAGTTCGAACACTTGCAGTGGTCGGCCAGGCTCTTACTCAACAAGGCTTAGCTCAGCTACTAGTGTCCTCGCCCAGCAGGCGGTATGTGTTTTTACAGGCCGTACCAAACCCCAGCAGTATCTCATCTCCATTCCTCAACCAGAGGAGATAGCCCCTCTTTGGTTGGAGAAAAGCAAGGTTTGGGGATCTTACATGGGTCGGGAAATATCATCCAACTTTGAATTAGATTTAATTACCTACCTACTTAATTGTTATGTGCATGAGTTGAGCGACATCATCACCAGTGGTACTACTCAATTAATAATCATGATGATTCCCCTCTCCCCCTCACCAGGCGATGTCCGTCCTCGTGCCATCCTCAGCCTTCCTTCGGCCCACGTGGAAATTACGAACGAATCTAAATAGCATGGGGTCCTAAAACTCCTAGTAGTAACTACCCCAAACAGAGTAATACTCGAACCCACTATCCTTATCGCCAGTCTTCTCACCCGAGGAAAGCCATGCAGATCAACCAACACTCAAATCTGCCAGGCCAGTTTCCATGTGGAATAAATGCACTTTACACTTCGAGTGATACATCACCGCACCACATGGCATAGACTTTCCCACTAGCTGCTTGTTTGACCAGGTTCCTGGAACTATTGGCCGTCTGGCTTTGAGAGCTGAATCGATATCCTGCCTGATCTGACCGATCCAACCATTGAAGGTTGCCTTTTGATCGATCTTTTGTATATATGTTGGGGAATATTGACGGTTGTTACGTACATATCTAACGGGCTAATGTGTCCTGTTTGCTATATACTCGTACTATCCAACCACAAAAACCAACAATCAATCAACAATAGTAATATCACTCAATGGCAGCAAGAACATCGATTGCCTCTCATTAAAACATACAGAGTACCCAGAGATGGTGGACAAAAAAGAAATTACCACCATGTGGCTGAGCCCAAAAGTCAGACCTGTAGTCCCGTAATGCCTAAAAGGAATCTCACCTTCCACCTCTCTTCCAAGTGTCTTCTCCCTTAGCCGGGATCCATCCATGCCGTCCCACGTGGACACACGTGGAGCCAACGCCCTTGATGAATGAATGGGTGGTTTTCTCTGGCTGGCCGCTCAGGCGCGGCTTGGCCCCAGCCATCGAGCCGTTTTGACTTTTGCCCTGGCGGTGTGTCTCGAAAATGATCCAATTGTTCCCGTCCGGAGGATCGATCGTGGGGACTCATTGGCTGGTGGTTGTGATTTTCGTGTCACCGATGGGGTTTTAGTAAGTCGTAACTTATGGTGTTTCAATTCAGTCGCTTTGACCTTGTCAGATTTTGATTCCTTTCATGTTTATCCTTTTTTTTTCTTTCATTCGGTTTTTCCCTAATCTCCTCGTCGGTCCCAACAGTTTTCGGAAACGGGATACTAACTTAGGTACCCCGTAGTAGAATATTCTATGTATGCAGAATGTATGTATATGGTAACTTGATGCTGATCGGCGTCCTCCGTACTATGCATGTATGTATGCAAGCGCATCAAACATGACATGTACTAGCCCACACCCATCGTAATCTGATACCCCATCCCATCCTATCCCATCAAGGCCTGAGGCTAGGCAAAATGACACCGGCAAAAAGCGTTATCTCCGAGCCCAGTGTTTCAATGACGACACCGGACATTGACAGAAGTGCTGTATAATGGCTTAACCGCGTCCAGCGCGCGCGCCCACGGCATTGCCGTCCAGATCGGGAGACACCGGCAGTGCCTAACTAACTACTCCGTAAACTAGATACAATTGAGAAAGTCTGCCCGCGGCTCCACGTTAGTCTTGGAGGGACCGACCCCGCCAGAGTATACTAGGTGGAATCGGTGAGGGAGGGCCCTTGCTGGATTTACTGCGTACTAGTCATGGTGTTGATTTCTTTACGCGTGTGTATGTATTTGTGTATGTTGTTTGTTTTGTATTCGTATAGAATATACACACACCATACAGAGTACTTCGTACAAACAACCGTATAATCAAAGCCACAGGTCTAGTCCTACAAAGACAACAAAAGCCAAAAAGAAACCCCTGGTTTTTCACCCAAATGTCAAACTCCGGGGTTGTTGAATTCCCAACCCGAGAGGTAACTACCAAGTTAGGCAGGTTGCCTAGATCCTCCGCATCCTCCTGAGGCTCAGGGCTCCCCGGTACGAGCCTACGAGGCTGGCGAAGGGTCTGATCGCACCAGCGAGAAGGGGCTGTCCCAACTCAATCCTCACCTGATGACAAAAGAGATAACGCCAAGGCTAACTAACTACCGACGTAATTCTAGGAGATCGCCTTGAGAGCCTAATAGGCACACGAGATAAATAGTAATAGTAATAATCGTATAGCGCCGCAAATCGCCGGTCAGGGCTGCGAATGCCGAATAAGGGCGATACCACTATCGCTGACCTTAGTCTTTCCACCTTCTCTTTCTCTAATTGAAATTTTTGTTCTAGTTGCTTATGGGCTAGTTTCATGGTCGGATCCCTTTGAGAGGGCATGGTCGGGCCTTTTCGATTCCTTCGTCTTCGTTTGGGATCCACTTTCCACATGGTGAGATGCATAGCGGTGAGATTGTTCGGACATTCCGTTTGGCGGTGCTGTCATCCTGTTGGGGGATATAATCACTAAAGGACCGCTTGTGAGGTCTTACCTAGAGGATGTGGGACAATCTTGGAAGAGGCTTTTCTTAGCTCTCAAAATGATACATCATACTGGTACCTATACTATCCACGCGTCTGGACTGCGACAGGCTTCGCTTCCACGGAGTACTCCGTAGAGACAAACAGTGAAAAACGCCAACAAATAACTGAGCACAAACGAGCAAACAAACAAAAGAATACGATTGAAAGTCAAAAGTCAAATGCGGTATGTCTAAAGGACCTGCAGTATCTAGTCGCGTGTACCTTACCTGCTTCTCCACAAACACACAGACAGCACATCACATATATCTCAGACACATATTCCTGCATCTGGTATGGGGTAAGTAGGTATTACGTAGACTAGTTGAGTAGCGAACTAGTGAGGCATCTAGCTTGCGGCCATGCGAGCTCAAATGAAAATCCCTGGCCGCCACGCGAGGCAACTGACAGGGATGATCCTGTTTCAGCTGTGACAAGGCTGAGCTTGGAATGTGTCTGTGTGGTCTTGGGAGCTACGCCCAGCCAATCTTATGAGATGGTGGTGAAGGACGTGCAGGGTGGGAAAGGGGAGGGGGCCGTCTTGGGAGGCTTTTCGCGTGGCGGCGGTGGAGGAAGGCATGGTTTCCCTGATCTTGCATGTTGGCTGCGGTTAGGATCTGTAATATTGGGGATTGTGGCTTGGGAAGCGAGTCAGGTAGGCTTGAGGCTCGAGTGAGCTCGTATACGAGTCTATTTCCATGTGTCGGCCATGTCGATATTGAGGTGGCTTTTGGCGATAGTTTGGGATAGCCGGTGCTCTTGGTGGACTTACAGGCAGCTCTCTGTAATGATGGTATCTTACAGGGTACGTTATCTATTACAGCAGTAAAGTCGGTAACATGTCTTGAAATACTTCGGCCTGTAATTAATGTGCTCATGATCATCCACCATCTATGACATATATCCCTTGCTGCAGCAGTTCCCACCCATGTATATCACGTAGTGCAGTACAGGGTATCGAAAGCTTGTCCTAGTAGGTAGTATCACCGGGTCCTCAATGCAATATAATGGGTGGCACCCTGGAGGGATACTAAGGTAGTACTGCCATCGTATCATGCTTACAGGTGATGATTGATGATTCCTTACAGGGTTCCACAGATGGATTGACCTGTCCAGAATCGGGGTTCGCCACCCACATCCAATCCACAATTTTCTAGAAATCATCATATCTGCGCTATCAACTGTGGCTGATATACATACGTGTGCCCCTTCCAAGAAAGACCACCCTTGTCATTTATTGGCAAGTGACGGCTTCGAGTTCTAGGCCTGGCGGCTCGGGATACACGACTCAGGCAGGATATTTGAACCAACGGCAGTTACCCGAACCCGTCGTACTGGTCAGCTGGAAGGAACACAGTGAGCTGTTTGGATGTCAGGGAATGGAAAGGGAAATGAAGGAGGCAGTGATACCTCTGTGCTCTGACTCTCCTCCCCGATAGAAGATCCACCCCGCTTTATTTATTTTATTTTTTTATTTTATTTTATTTTTCATCATCCTGATTCATATTATTTCCTCTCTGACCGACTTGCTTTCATAGTCTCTTTCAACCAATCAAGCCCTCACTCTGGAAGGTTCGTCCCGACTTACCTCTGACTTACCGCCTCATGATGTATACCCATTACGTAGGTAGGTAGGTAAGTACATAACATATGGCAGGCAGATGATTGTCAACGGCCTCGTATCACAGTCCAATTATACGAGACTATCACCCTACCCCATGCCAATCATCCACACAACCAGATCCCATATACCAACTAAACCGGAATCTTCGATAGTTAGTGAGCTCTTTCTCCAGCACGTCCAAATCCTTCCCGTTCGTCGGTGGAGTTTCTCTCTTAGCCCTTAGCCCCGGCGTAAAGTAAAGCAAACCAGCTGCGCCGCTGAGTCGGTCGACCCAAAGAACGGTGGTACTGAAGACGGGAGAAAAGGTGGATTTCGACACCGCCCGTCCTGGCCTGACCATCGTCATAATCTAAATCCTGAAACCTAACCTTGGCGGCCACTGGGCGCGGCGAGATAACTCCAATTGAAATTTCCATAAGAGCGGTCAAGACGGCTGACTGCGGTGGGTCGACACTGGGACTGTGGAGATGGGTCTTAGTCTTTGGTGCTGGCAGACGCTATACTAGACAGTGAGACACTAGGTGCGTTGTGGGTGGGTTGGACGGTGGGTATGTATGAATCAAACAGCCGAACAAATTATTTGGCGAATTAGTGAGTTGGAGTTGGGGGTGGAAAATGAATCCCCCATCTTGTCTATCTCCACATGAGAATCTCTTTTCGGATTTTCTGTTTGGTTACGAAATGCGTCGTTCGTTGATGTTCACTCTGTCTTTCGCTTGGTGGAGCAAAACAACAGACAACAGCCATTGAAATGAGTACAGGGTTTGCGACAAAAAGGTTAACAAATTAAAAATCAGGAAGAAATGGGGAGCCACGTGGTTGTTGGGAACTTGAACTCTAGTGACTTTTTTTTTTTTTTTTTTACACCGCCTTGAATATAAATCTTTGTTTACACTTACTTCCTTAGACAGAATTGATATGATCCCTGTAGCTTCAATAGCTCGGGTCCAACAAAGGATGCAGCACGATAATCACGCTTAAAATTACCACCGCGGAGAAGCAATGAGGAAACAACTGAAAGAACGGAAAAGCTACCACCTTCCGCCCCATCTCCAGCCGTGTCAAACCGTGTCCAAATTCTGTTTCTATGGAAGCCCAACAGCTATCCAGCCGATCATTTTCCACCAGACAGACACCGTTGACGATCCTCCTGCCAACATGATAGAATAGCACAGACCCTCATTGCGCAAATTTCAACCTCTCGCCTTCCCTAACCAGTTTTACAACCAGAATAATAAAATAAGAGCTATAAAAAGGCGGGAAATTGATCATCTTCTCATTGGCGGTACAACCATCCGAGATGAAGGCTTGCCCCGTCGCATTCGACACGTAGACATTGTCTTTTTCTCCCTGGTGCTGGTTTCAAGGCAACCAACGTGGCTCTAACCTAAGCGACAGATCATACCCTATCGGGTAAAGAGTCTAACAAGGTATAGTTTTGGGCAATGTTTGTTTGTGTTTACGTTGCCTGAGGCGAGCAAAAGAAAAACAAAACTCTATTTTGAGTTCGCGAGGCTCTGGCTATTCTGCCATGCTACTGTCCCTTGAGGCGATATCACATCGCTTAGACCCACTAGTTACGGCTTGGCCCCTTTTTTTCACGTTTTTTTTCTTTTTCCATTCCATCGGTGATGGCAGGATTTGCAGTGGAGAAGTAAATGCTTACTGTGCTGGAGCCATCCAGACTTGCGACTGCAAATCACTCCGTGACTATATCCAATTTTTAGCCCTCAATGCCGAGATGGAAGCCGAAGTAGAGCGGAGTGTTGGATGGATGGACGGGTGGAAAAAACTGACAACCCACATCCTGAACGGCTCTTCTGACCGACAACTACGGAGTACAATTCCAAGAAAAAGGTCGCCGTCAGCACCACAATCCAGGATGATAGACAGGGTAGATGAACGTATCAGTGGAGCTCAGACCGCTAGTTTCATCGTTATCCATGGTTGAGTTTAATGAGTGTGATCTATCCTGTCAAGCAACTCCGACTTGAGTCAGGGGGACGGGAAAGAAAGACACTAGAAGCCTTCGAGAAGGATTCTGGAAGATACCAGAAGGTGGGGACTTGCCGCTAGTTAGTGCTGCATCCATGGTTCGGGGGTTTTTAAAACCGGTTACCTCCGGTTACTAAGAGACATACTAGTGGGCTTGGGAGTCAATACCGGGGCTGACTTCTGTGTCTGGGTTGGTTGCTCCGGGGGTAAGTCTTTGTATTTGATACTATCTTCTATAGATGGACATACGGTGGTAAATACGAAATCTGTATGATGTACGATGTACGGAGTACTACTACGTATGTACAGAATAGATACACCGCTTCGTTGATGGAGCAGACGACGGAGTCTAGTAGAGACCCTCATGTGGACCAGAAAAGACATCTGTGGGGTTCAGGGTTGTTGGGGGTGATATGATGTAAAGAATTGCCTAGTGGGTACTGAATTTTACTTGTCATTTTTTTTCCCTCTTGGTCTTGGTAGTGGTTCGTAAAATTAGCCTTAGGTACCTACTGCCTACTTTGTAGTAGTAGCCATGCCACATCCAGAGATAGGTTGGCAAGCTTGGCAGTGTGGCACTGATGGAAAACTATTTTGATATCAGGAGGTCCCTGGCGCTAAGTGCCATGAATCGCCCCCAAACTAAGGAGATGAGTTGCTGTATGCAAGGCATAGCAAGAGAAAATCCTCCTCCGAAGTCAAGTGACAATTCACATCTGACCGTGGACCACGCGTCTCCATCTGTCACATCATTTCCAATTGACTCCCCCCGGTACTCCGTATTCCGTACTGTGTCCAACTGTCTGCCAATCAACGATAAATCGGCTGGAGAAACGCACGTGGAGGATCTTCCGGAAAGCGGCAACGCAGTTGGCTGACTCGACAGTTGAACTCTGGTCGTCTCCGGACGAAGCGGACGTATCGGTTGTTACACGGCATTCAATGCACCATCCTGCCAACTTCTCATCATCATTTCGCTGGCTGTAATTGCTATTCGACACGTCGTAGATCCCGCCTGCCAGGTGCCATTCATTCCACTTCGGTGTATGAAAGGTACTACCCAGGCGGGTAGGAGCTGCAGGCAATACAGACCCCAAAAAAGAAGGGGAGTAAAAAAAAAAAAAAAAAAAAAAAGATGATGATCTGAAAAAAAAAGAGAGGAAGAAAAGAAAGGAAAGAAGGGAAAGGAAGAAAAAATGTAAAGAAAAAAAAAAAAAAGCGGGCACAACATCTTCCCCACATCATTTTCCCCCCGAAAGGACTAAGGAATCAATTCTACAGTACCAAATCTTCTCCTTTGGCGGAACCTGCCGACGACCGACGACCTTGAGCACGCCATGTGGCTAGTACGATCGCTCCCACGAGGTTCGGAGGTTCCAGTTGAAGCCAGAGTGGATCAGAGACACACCCTCAAGAGTCAAGGAGGGACGACTCCATACCATTCTGAGGAATCACATGAGGAGCTTTTCATCATTCATGAATCTGTCGACCACTCTTGGCATGTTGCTACTTATGTAATGTAATGGATACCCTTTTGTGGCTATACTAAACCGGGTTGGGACTAAATCTCTGACTACCTACCTGCTAACCAACAAGTGACACACCGCTCCTGTCTATCTTGCATCTACTCCTCCCCGTCGTGTACATCACTTTGGCAGACTAGAGAGTAGAGATCATCTGAGAAAAAGAGGGTCTTCGGAGATGATTCTGTATTTGAAGAGAGCTTGGCATCCTGACATTGTTAGACGTCGGGTACACCCTTGGACTATTCTTGAATGGCCAATCCTGGATGGCAGAGTAAGATTAGTTGGTTCATCGCATCCACTGAGCCATGCATGCACGGAACAATATTGCAGTTTAAGAAAGAGTTTAAGAAGCTAAGAGTTATAATAATAACAGAGTCAAATTATGAACCATATAAATAAACCTCGAATAATCCCTGTCCATTGCCCCGTTCGGGCGTTGCGTACAGTGCAGAAGTCAGAAGTAAGGGGGAATGATGGGCTGCGGATTCTGTCGCATGTGTTTGATCCTTGCTGTCCACGCGAAGGAGGCAGCAGTAATGGTCTATCCCCACCCCATCTGGGGAGTCTGACGCCCAGAGGTTGGGGGAAAGGAGGGTCTCAGGGGTGGCCCTCATACTGGTTTGGGTTAGTCGTTAACAACCTGTCTTGGGTTTCAGATGCTATCGTGGTAAATAGTAGCCAATAATTATCATGATAATATCGTGGTTATTCATTATTATGGAAAATAAATAAATCAATAATAAACCTAATCACGCCATTTCTCATTGACCAAAAAGGCACAGACTCACCAACTGATGGATGTGCATATGAGCATCACATATGATTTCCCATGATTCCACCCGCCCCAAGACCTGGACTCCTCCGGTCAAGCAGAACAAGTCCAATCACATCCCTCAATCGACGAGGGCAATTGACATTTTCATCGACATGCAGTTTCAACGTCATACTGTACGACAAGTAGTACTAACACCACTACCGTAAGCGCGGGATCTTGCCTCCTTACTCCGATGACCCAACGTGGCTTGGGCATTTCAACTTCGGGGATTGTGGCACTGGCATCGGAGAGTGGTGGGGGGGGAGGGGGGAGACAGGTCAGGGATGTTGACGATTGATTGCATCGATAGAACTGGTGCATCTAGGCCAGTGTTTCAGGTTTGGGTTGGAGCCTGCCTGAGATGCGTACTAATGGGTTTCCGTTCGGGATGATCGGTCAGGAGGTCGACGCTCTACTAAGCGGGTATGTACGTACTGTACTCTCTCTCTCTCTCCCTCCTACCAGGACAGGGTACATACTCCGTACGGTGAAGGCACAGGAAGTCAAGCGATGGAGTGATATTTTTGGATATGTATCTATCCCCCCTGAGAGTTGGAAATAGAGATCATCTCGTCCAGAGAGCCTGCAGAATCCAACCGACCCCCGTCACAAAAGTACTAAACTACCCCGGCCGAAACCAATCTCGAATTTGTCAACGCCCACAGTAACACGCTGAGTCGACATGATTTCATGCATTAGACCACGGAGCGGGGAAGCACAACAGGGATGTTGATTCGCCAGGGAGCCGATATCCCGAAGAGATTGACTCTCGGATGCGGAGGTTGACCGGTGAGATGAAATTATGCTGCTCCCCAACCTATCTAACTAAATCTGTATGTGGCTAACCGCCGATCAAATAGACAGGGGGTGTTTCATTGGGGGAGGGGGAAAGGGGGCTCACTCGTCTTGTTGTTTACTGACTTCTCTTGTGATAGTTAGTTGGGTATGTTGTTGTTCTCGCCTTGGTTAGGCGTTGGACGTGGGGCGACTGCACATGAATCATGCGATTTCGGTCGGAGCTTACCGTCTTTTTCTTTATATATTTTTCTAATTTTGATTATTATTATTTTTTTTAGTTTTTTTTTTTTTGTGTATCACGTTAAGCTCCGATGGACAGTTCACGCGTCAGAAGTGTGTCAGTCGAACGATGATACCCCGTTTATTCTCGCCGACGTCGGCCTCCAGAAGGCATAGATAGACATGGATATGTGTTGCACAAGGTATTTGACCATAATCCTTACATATATCTCCCTCCACGGAGTCCGTACATGTAAGACAGACAGATCTATACAGCAACCAGTTATAGTATCCGATTTACAGTATACAGGGATAATTTAACGTTCAACACCAAGATCAACAGGGCAATACCTTTCCCTCCTTCCCTTCTTATTCTCATCTTCATTTCTAATCTTCTACTATCACATCTTTCAAACCACTCCATAGTCTACGTCTCTATCGAGTAATGGATGCGATCAGTCAGGATCAGGAACTAGAGGATCCTAATAATAACAACCATCGACTAAGATGCTAGGGAGGAGCGAAGACGCTTGGTTGGATGATCAATCTGCTCGTCTTGAACTTGGTGCTCATCCTGGTCGAAATTCATGTCGCTAGTTGCTTAGTGGGTTTGGCCTGTTTTTTTTTTTTTTTTTTTTTTTGTGTATATGCTAATATGCCAATATGCCAAATATGCTAACTGTCATGGTTAGTAGATTAGGTTAATTTCGACGGTTGGAAGGTCTTCGTTCATGACTGTGGGCTGACTCTGGGATTGAGGGATGGTTTGAGCCGGATCGTTTGTATAGAAATTGGGGATATCCGCATTGTACATGGCATGGATAATAGAGCCGGGGTAATTCCGGCTCTACATCCTGCCGTTTCATCCTGTTCTGTCGTCTATACTGTTTCATCATTGTAGGAGCTAACGTCGATACAACGGCTCTACCGATCTACCATACCAAGCAACCAATCAAGAACTTAGAGCAGCCCAACAAATTCATCGTCTTGTCTAGACCACCATTCCAAAATCACGATGCGCGTCTTGCGGTGTCGCTTTCTACCGCGCCAAATGCTCTAAGGTATATCCCTGTCTGTCCGTATCCCTCTACCCGTCTCGCCACCACTTGCCCAACGACCCCCCAGACCCAGCCATATCCACCACCTCCTCGAAGCTGATTTCCACCCGGAACATCCGCCCGTCAGCCGTCCCGCTTCCCCCGCCGACGGCGCTGACAAGACCCCAGCTGACGAGCTTCTCCCACGCCTCGCGAGCCACGTCGCGGCCCCACACTCGTCCGGGTGTGGCGGCTGCGCCGGATACAGACGCCGATGTCTTCGCCGACGTCAGCAGTCGGACGTACTCCGCGTATGCGGCGGGGAAGGACAACGCCAGTGGGGCGAGAGCCTGTGGCTGGGCGGTGTCAGGGCCCGGGTCGTAGAGCGCTGTGAGACGGGCTGCGGCTAGGAGGAGGGAGAGAGGTAGAGAGGATTGGCTGGTGGAGCTTGTGGAGGTGTCGAAGGGGAGAGGTGCTGGGTCGGGGCATGACAGCGTCTGGCTGATGAATGCGGCGGGGGTGGGAATCTGCAGGGAGACCTCGCCGGTGGTGTCGTCGCTGTAGGTGCTGTAGTGCAGCTCGCTGATTGTCATCAGGGCGCTCGTGAAAAACTCCCGTGTGGACTTCGTTTGGTGGTATATTCTTTGTAGGTGGGTTTGGAATGCTCCGTCGCCCCACAGGCCCTGTGTCGTGTGAGTAGTCTTGTCTTGTAAATCCCCTGGTCAAGGAGTGGTTGGAATACCTCGAGATACGCCCTCCATCCTTCCAAGGCCCTCTGCCCATTCTCGGAATGAATGACAGATTGGCCTGCTCCATCCGCTAAATCCAACACCTCCTCGTCTTCCAAGTTCAATCCGGCAAAGCAGATCTCGGAAAACGTGTCAAATGTTCTCGGAAGCGGAACGAAGACATATCGATGGCTGAACCGACTCTTCACTCGCTTCTCCAGCATCTCCGTCACGTCCACTTTGGTGGTGACCCCGACAACAGCCACGGGGGCCTTGCGCGCTTGCGCTATATCAAACAGATTATATAACAGCGTCTGACGCGGATGCGACACAAACAGGTCGAACTCGTCGAGTACGATGACAACGGATTTCGCTGCTGTCGACGCTTCCCCGTTCCCTTGGGCGCCGTAGATCTCTTCCGGGTGGGAGAGAAGGCCAAGTAAAGTCGCCATGGTATCGGCGTAACTGCTGACCTTGCTGGCTTCGTCTTCGGTGTTGGTCTCGCGGCCAAGTTGGCGCCACATTTCCCGGAGGGCTAACCGATCATCGGTCTGCAAGAAACCGTTGAGACGCACGACGTGGAAATCATTGCCATGTTCTCTCCGCAGCGACGAGATTACCGTCTCGACTATAGCCGTCTTTCCTGACCCACGCGAACCTAAGAGCAGCATCGAGTTGCCCTCCCCGACCGTTACCGTCTGCTCAACGAGCTGGTGCGCTTTGCTGTATTCGCTCTCTAGCCCCTTCAGCGGGACTGGCCGTTTGCCATTGAGTTTCTCGAGTATTGTTTGCGTGATCACCCGTAGCTCGTCCGTCAGTCCCGTTTGGCAGAGAGCGAGGAATTTCTCCGCATAATCAGGAAGCGCCTCATTCGAGGGCACCGCCTTCTCTCTATCTTCTACCTCGGGTTGCGTAAGGCCCTGTTGCAGCTGCATCGAGACAATGTCCTCTAGCCCGTCCTGGTAATCGTCCGGAGAAGGCGATCCATTGGGTGCATCCCCGTTGGTATCTGGATTCGCGGGAGTTGGCTTCGCAGGGGCCCTTTTAGCCCTGGACCGCGTGCGCGTCACTCTGGGTGGTGGCGTCGATTCCTCGTCGCTTTCCTCCTTCTCTGAGATCGCTTCCTCTTCTGAAACCGCCTCCTTTTCCGAAACCGGCCGTGTCGTCTGCGCGCTCTTCGGGGTCGGACCGGTTCGCCTAGACGTAGTTCGTCGAACAGACGGCGCGCGCGAAACTATCTCCTCAAACCGCTGCGGTGGTTTCCGCTGCCGCCCACTGCTCCGTAGTCCGGGTCTTGCGGGCGGTTCTGTCGCCGTCGCGTTTTGCTGTCCATCCGTTCCGGTATCTTCTGTGTGCGCCGGCGGTGGGGATGCAGTTTGCCCGTTTCTGTCGTCCATTGTCACATCTCCGTCGGCGTCTATTTCCTCCACGTCTGACACTCTTCTCCTCTTGCCTGCCCGTGGGTCTTTCATGTTGTGATTGGTGGCAGCTGGCTCGTAGGGAGGTCTAAGCAAGATAACCGTTCGGGGTCATAGAGTGGGGACTGGGGTGAATTGCAGCTTTCTCGCCCAGTCGATAATTTATGAAGAGTTTCGGGTTCACCAGAAGATAATTGGCGTCGTAAAGGTCAAGTGCGGCCGTGTGGAGCGATCAATTGTATGGTTGTAGGAGGCAGCGGTTGTGAACGGGAAAGTTTGATTGCTTCGGCGATGGGCAAACTAGACAATTCTAATCTAGGTATCAGGTTAGTGGATAGCCCTTTAAAGACCTATGATATTAAGTCAACTCACCGATGAAGGGAATGCTATCTCCGGCGCCAATCCCGGGTTGTTGGTGGAGGTTTTGGGAGCGGAGAAGTTGGGGATCGTAAAGATCTCGGCGCCTGAGGCATAACGCGTGACGCGAAGTCAGGTGAGTTGTTCGCCGCATGAGAAAGCCTCGATCAACCACAAATCAACGGCTTTTTTAGAAGCATGGATACTATTCTAGATGATCTCATGGTGCTTTGGTCATGGTGGATAAAAACATAAACATATATATCATCCACATCATGTCTGGCGGGTTACTTGCTCGCTATATATGTAGTACATAAAAGCCAGAGGTATATTTCGAGCGAAGACAATCAGGTTGAATTTGAAAGCAATACAATTATAAGCGATCAACGTACATTAAGATACGAGCACCAAAGCCCGCATCATACTACTAATAAGTCATTTATCTAGCCTGTCAACTTTCATAGGCAAATGTGTAGCCGCCAACCTCGGCTATCGAGCGTATTCCTACTCCAAGCATTCGCGATACCACCAACTAATTCATGTACATATCTTTACAATCATCTATACATCTAAAGTCCCTAGTTCACTCAATTATTTATAAACTCATCTAATTATAAAATATACCGCCATAATGACCACCTCAACCATGGCCCGCCCTGCCAGGAAACTAGACGAGTTCGAAGAACTGGTCTACATGTACGCTGCGCGCATGGGTCCCCACGACGAGAGTCAAGAGGTCAGTCAATCATATAACTAGTTCCAATCCCACGGACGCGAAACCATCAGAAAAACTCCCCGCATAGAAGTCCACTACTAACCCTCCCCCCTAGCGCTGGGACATCGACTCCCAAGCCAGCAATATGCGCTTCGAATCCGCGACAAAAGGGCCCCCCGCCAAAGTCTCCTTCCTCTTCAGCATCGCTCCCAAAATGTGTAACTTCCTGGGTAACCTGCACGGCGGATGCGCGGCTACGCTCGTCGACGTGCTCTCCACCGTCATCCTGCTGGGCGTGTCCTCGCCGGGCCACTTCTCGCTGGGCGGGGTGAGTCGTAATCTCAAGATCACGTATCTGAGGCCCGTGCCGAGGGGTACGGAGGTGAGGCTGACTTGTGAGCTTGTGCATGTGGGCCGTCGGTTGGCGCTGTTGAGGGTGGAGATTTCGCGGGTTGATAATGGGAATCTTTGTGTTGTTGGGGAGCATGAGAAGGCGAATACTGATCCGGAGGTTGATCAGAGGATTTAATTTCTTTATTTGTATTTTTTTTTGAGGGGGGGGATTATCTACTTGGGTCTTTCTCCCTATCCTTCTTGTTACTGAGGTGGTGTGCTGGTATCCAGATCCTTATTTGGTCTCAGCTATAGAGTTGGTCAGAGCTGTGTACATATAAATTCTAAGAGTACAGGAGTGGATATGCTGTTATAGACGGTGTGGTAATAAACGGGGTATGTGTAGTGGTAAATTGCTTTAGTAGAAACCTAAGCGCAGTCGAACCCTATTAAATACTCAATCAGGAACCTAGCATCAACGCAAAGGTTGCGGCGTATGTACATATACTGTCTACTGCATGCCGGATGCATCATCCAAAGGCAAGGGAGCGTGCTAGTTCCAACAAAAAAACTGGTGTGGTTTACTTCAAAGAGATTATCAGCATCTCAGTGCACCCAAGCGGGACTTCCCCTCGCTGTCGTCACACAACCATATTTAGTCTTCAGCAAGCTTCTGGTCCTCCCGGAGACCCTCAACAACCAGCTCCTCGCCCGTGGCGCGGCGGTAGATGTCACGGACATCGTCTGATCTCGTTAGTTAATGTATACATTGGGGGGTCATGGAGGGAGAGCGAAGCTCGTACCGGTGGTGGTCTCAAAGTGGGAAGTGGGGTCGTAGCTCTTGGAGATGAAGATGTTGTCCTTTTCGCCACTCTCGAGAGGCTCGTAGAGCGGGATCGGGGGGCCAAAGAATCGCTCTTCGATCTCCCCAAGGCGCTCGAAGCCCGGCTCCAACTCCAAGTGGTGGTTGGCGTCGGATTCGGCAATCGTCGACACAATGGCAATGTAGTAGCCCTTGGGGCAGACATTGTGAGCCGACGAAACCATGGCGATGTAGATATCTGTTCACCGTCAGCATGCCAGTTCCCCACTAAGCTATGCTACCAAGTCTTACCGTGCTTCCGGCCGATCTGGGATTGGGGCAGGATCAGCTGCAGCGAGTCGCTGCCATCGGTCTTGTCGATGGGGTGCTTGAGAATGCAAATGGCCTTCAGCAAGTAGCCAGTCACCCGAGCCTTGCTAGGGAAGTAGGAGGGATCGGCCAAGATCTTCTTCGTCTTGGTCGTGAATTTCATGGCATCCTCGTCGGCATCACGGTCCTTCATGGTCGCCTTGATCCCGGAAACCTTGCCGCTCTCGTCATAGAGCACCTCGTCGATGTTGGTGTTGAGCATGTAAGTACCGCCGTAGATGGCGGACAGACGAGCGAAGCCCTGGGGCAGCTCACCGAGGCCGTACAGAGGGTAGATGTAGGGCGACTTGCCATACCGAGCCATGGAGTTGACATACAGGCGGATACGGTTGATGGTCTCGGGAGCTTGCCCGGGGTTGTTGATATAGTCGTCCGACTGGAACAAGGCCATCGAATGTCCAACGAAGTCACGAGTATTGGGCTCCAGGCCAAACTTGTCGTAGACCTCCCTCATGCTGACGTTGTGAATGTCGAGGCCTGGAATTTGTAAGTAACCGCAATAGCATGGGAGAGGTTCAAGTGTCGGGTCAACGAACCGTTGTGAGTAGCAGGGTCGTCCTCCTTGAATTCACCCACCCACTCCAGGAATTTCTTGGCCCTCCGCTTCTCAAAGAGACCCATGAGAGAGGAGCGCAGCGCCTCGTTGGCATCCGAAGGCACCTTGGCCACGGTCGCCTTGGGGCCCTTCCCTTGCTGGACATAGCTGCCCCCGATCTGCTTGAACTCCAGGTACCTTGTGACATCGGTGGAAACCAGGATATTCGTCAACTCGCCGTTGGCCATGAGCAACTTCGGGACCAGATCAATGTTCCAGTCGTTGACCCGTCCGTACTTCTTCCAGGGCTCTTCGCCGGGGGCGACATTTCCGTATTTCTTGAAGAGCTATCAAACACGCCAAATATTAGCACATACATATAAAACAGATTCCGGATTAAGATCTAACTCACAGTCTCGATGTTCACCGACGCAGCTTCGCTAAAATGGTGGTCAGTGGCGGCTTCACGGTGGACGGGACCAAGCTCTCCACCCGCGGGCGGGCGTCACTCACCCTCCGTAGTGATCATTACGATCGATGTGAAGCACTTTGTTGCCCTTGACACTCAAAACACTGTATGCTATCAATAAGTATGTAGACTAGTAAATCCGATAAAGCAAAGAACATACCCCGACAGGACACACTCGGTCAATCCTAGAAAGAAAAGAAGGTGGTTAGCATAGCTGGCGTTGAGGGGCGGGGTAAATGACAGCATACCAGTGCCGAGCACCACAACATCATACTCGGGAGCAATCTCATCCATGGTAGTGGGAAAGGGAATGCAAGCTATTAGAAAAGGACGAATGAACAGTTGATCAGACGGAGAAAGTGAAAGGGTGCAGGAAAGTGGGAGGGGATGCGGAGACAAAGATGAAAAGGATAGCGGTGAGTTTAGTTAAGCCGGTCGATGGGGAGAGCTGGGAGGTGAAAGGGGAGGTTTAATGTGGGCTGGTCTGGTAGTGCCAACCGTAGTGGTGTCTCCCTCCCCTCTCCCTCCCCGCGGATCACCCATTGCGGAAATGAGAGCTTCCCTCTTTCATTGGCATTTTTAGCAACTTGGATCCACCGCGTCGAATAACCTTGAAACCACTGGGCGATAGTATGAGAAATAATCCCGAATTATCGAGTGTGATCCTCATCCGTCAAATAATATCCCCTGCCCCTTTTCGATGGGTTACGTAGTGCTATCGTACGAGGTACACTGTATACATAGAATGAGGACGCTATGTAGAGGTACTATGTAGGGCTGTCAGCTATTAATGGATACCGCTGATGTTCGGGAATATTCTGTTCCCAGTACTGAAGGGACTATTGACACTATCGGCTGCTATACCTAATTAACACCCCCCCCAATATATTAGAATCAGCGCTCCAACGTTGGGAAACTGGGCACCTTTCCCCTTCCCCTATTACCGCCGACCCTTACGATAGCGAAGCGAGAACAACTGCTGGATCAGGAGATAGTGGGAACATGGATTCAAATATTGATGATACAGGATTTCTACATACAACACCAACAGCACTTCTTGCAGCCGAGCAAAGGAGATTCAATACTTTCCCAAGTTGAATCATGCAGTCCCAGATGGCGGCTCCTGGCTTACCTCTTGACTCTCGTCCTCCTGAGGGCGATAGCCATTCTTGTATAGTTTCTGTGCATCCTCCCAGGCGTACCATCTCTCCCGAAGAACGTGCTGGATTCCATTCTGCGTGACGTTGATCTATGCGGGAGATAATATCATCAGTAACTGTCAAAAAATCCACGATCGGTAAGGCGAGACGGTTGGGTTTGGGGTTTGGGATCAGTAACTCGCCAGCGCCTCCAACGCCAGTCGGGTCATTGTATTCGCACGTAGTATTATCCCCCGGGCAGGAAAGGGTAATGAACAAACTCACCACTCGCTTCCGCTCACCAGCCTCCCACTCTCCATATCCAGCCTTCAGTCGCTCTCGTTCTAGGTTGGAAGTGGCTATACGGTTGCATTCCCTGACACACACCCACCAGAGGGAGTGGAGATCCTCCCACGACTTCTCGCGCAGCTCCTGGATCGACCACGGGCGACCTGGACACGTCCCAGTCAGTACAAATACGTTCTCGTTCGTGATGCCAACGTATGACTTGAAAACTAACCGAACGCAATATCGTAAGCAGGCGTGCTCAGCGCTTGGCGATCCGGGGGGAAGAATCCCCAAAGTCCATGGTTGGGGTTCGGGCTCCGCTTCTCGAGTCCCTCAGGCACCACAGGCTTGGGCAGCGGATACTTCGAAGCGCCTAGCCGGAACTTGGGCCCGGTGCGATGAATCGCAGACACTCCGCGGGATTTGCTCAGATCGCGTCCACGCGCGGCGACGGCGGCCGTTGTCGAAAAGTTCGAGCATTGGATGGGCGAGCGGCTTAGGGGGAAATGGAGGGATGGCGCAAGGTACGGAGGGGGCAATTCGGACAGCTGGAGGCCCCCAAGCTGCCGAGTGACCCGCGTGATCGATTGGCGATGCATTGTGGATGGGATTGGCGGTCGTCCCAGTCGTAGCGCAACTGAGATCCTTTGCAAACAGGATGCCGGCGAAGAAGTTGGCGGAATGGACTTTTCGGCGGCTAAGTCACGTGCACGGAGGACTCGGTCTATGCGGCCACATGCTCACAGGGAGTACAAAGCAAACATTTTCCGAGTAGATGATAAATGAATTTGTTTTGAAGGTTCTATAATCTCTATAAATCTCACTGTGTGCCGATCCATGTCATACCATATATGGCATGACTTGATTCTATCGTAGTTATACGGAGAGTACAGTCCTTCTTGATCACGGACAACATATTCTAACATCTCCAATCCTCCTGTTATGATTAAAAGAAAGCCATATAGATATACAAAATACCAACAGTTGAAAATCAACCCAAGTATTAGGAACTGAGGAAGTGATGACCATAACTTATGTTAATCACCAAATCTCCCTCCACACTGCAAAAGCGGATGGCGGTTATGTGGTCTGTGCACCCACCGGAAGCGCGCGTTTGCAGCCCACTCCACCTCCAAGGCCCGTCGCATATCTTCTGGGCAACAGTTCCTTGAAGCTCCAGTGGCTGGAATCCTAGTCTTGCTTTTCTATACATATTTTCTCCCTGTCGGATCCTCTTATTTGTCTTTATTCGTACGCGGCCTTCGGAGGCAGTGATCACAATGAATAGGCCAGGTTCGTCATTCTGTTCTTCCCCGTGTACTGTGTGCATGGCTCGACCTCTTTATTCCCATACACCACCCCTCGCTCGATGGGCGCATCGCTTTTGGACTCTTGAGGTCGTGTTTGACTCGCTCGAATCCCTTTGATACACTGGATCTTTGGCTTGTCGTTTCTTCTTTGTGTCGTCACAATTGCAATCCCCGGCGATCCCTCCGTTTGAGACCAAGACACAACTCGATAGAAACCCTAATCGCTCTGCTGATTGGAATTACCACACCTACATTATTTGGCCAGCATTACCAATACGGTACTAACATTGTCCTTCTCTTTTCCTAGGTCCAGGACCACAACCTCTCCGGGGCATGTCTGGGTTCCCCGCACAGCAACAGGCACAGGCTCGGAATGCGACGCTGGCTTCGGCGCGATTGCCGAACGGAAAATTAGGTTCGATACTTTATACTCTGGGTGGAGCCGGCGGAAGTTGTCGGCGATTTGATGTTTCTGGAAGCTAATGGGGGCGAGACAAAGTAGGCACTGGTGCAAACTGGAACTTCAACCTACCTGTGAGCGGAGCACCGGGTATCCCAGGGGCTCAGCAGCGCAATATCGGGAACATGGGGGGTACATTTGCACAAAGTCTTAGCGGGTCGCAGCCTGCGACACCACTGGATCTAGCGTGAGTGATGCTCGAACGGTTTCCCAGCCGAGTCGCCACGCATGGCCGTGGAGTTTGGTGGCCGTCGATGGTGCTAACTGGTTGCTTCTTGGAGTAGCGATTTTCCTTCGCTTTCTGGGGCGTCTCCCCAGACACAGGCCCAAAATACCGCCCATATGGTATGGGCCAACGCAAGCCAACGAGCGATGCAGCAAACCCCGGCCCAGAGACAGCACCCTTCGTCACAGGCACCGTCAAGGGGTCCCCAAACACAGTCTCACCATCCTCAGCAACAAACGCAGCCCTCACACGATGACGTATTTCCGTCCGGTGCTCAATTTGCCAATCGGCTGGACGATTTTCGAAACGGCGGACAGGGCATCAGTGGGCAGTTAGGAGCGGGCGCACAGCCGCAAACAGGCAACATCGAAGAATTCCCACCGTTGGGGCGCAACATCCCCGCAGAGATAGGCCAGGATCACCGAGGATCTTTGATGCAGAGTGCAGCTTTCGGCGGCTTCAACAGTGGGGTGCCGTTGCCCGGAGTAAGCCAAAGCCAATCAGCACAAGGTCGCAGCGTAATGGCTTCGATAAATGGGCAAGAGAGGATGCTTTCACCTACAGCCGTGGGATCAGGAGGTAACTTTGAGCGGGTGCTTCGATAATCAGGTGGATAATGTATTAATCGCATAATTCAGGTATCGGAACGTCGCGATCGCCCGTCAATCAGGGACCCAACGGGGTCCCAGGACAAGAAAAAGAGGTACATACGATCCCATTCTTGCCCCGCACTGCTTCCGAACGCTCTTTTCTGACACAGCTCGTCTTACTAGGACCTGGCCAACACATTGTTGTCGGGACAACGCAGCTTCGCGGAGCAACAGGTACTGCCTGGGGAAACTCAGGAAACCACTGGTAATCCTCCTGGATTCCCAGCCCCGTCAAAGCAAAGTACCGAGCAGCCGCCGCTGGCCGATATGAGCGAGCTTGACAAGTTTGGGCTGGCTGGTCTTCTCCGGATGATCCATAGCGATAGCCCAGATGTCGCGGGTCTAGCAGTAGGTCAGGATCTAATGACATTGGGCCTGGACCTGAATCAGCTCGAGTATGACACCTTTCGAACATCGGCCCTTGAGTTATGCTGATTTCGTCGTCATAGACCGTTACATACGTCCTTCGCGTCCCCGTTTGTGGCCTCCATGGCTGGAGTCCCTCTGGAGCAAGACTTCACCCTTCCCTCGTGCTACAACGTCGCCAACATCCAGTCTCTCCAGTCTCGTATCCCGAGCTTCAGCGACGAGACGTTATTTTACATATTCTATAGCATGCCCCGCGACACGATGCAGGAAGTCGCAGCAGAGGAACTAATGGGTCGCAAGTGGAGGTATCACAGGGTCGAGCGGTGCTGGCTCACCCGCGATGAGACCTATCCCGGTCCCGTCGATGTAGAGCGGGGCGTCAGCGAACGGGGGGTCTATCTTCTGTGGGAGCCTGCTAGCTGGAAGCGGATAAGGGTACGTGATGACTTCCGACCTTATTAGCGGTCGATCTATTAAATCTCTCTCGGAATTCTCGCAACCCATCTGACAGTTTTCTCAAACAGCGCGACTTTATCCTCCGATACGAGGATCTCGACAACAGAATGGACGCGAACCGAGGTCTTGCGCGCGTGGGCTTCCCGCAGCAGGGATCATGAACAATATTCTCATTCTCGGGAAACACAGGGCGACGGAAATCAGCAACGGCGTTAGGTTCACTGCCAATTTTCAAGACGGGTTGTTCGGGTGTTTCCAGTTTCATCGAGGACCGGGGTGTTTCTCGGATTTAGTGGTATCTCGGGGTGGGGGAAGTAGGATATGTGTTTGAAATCGAATGACTTCCATGATTACCGGATCTTTTGTTTAGAGTTTAGAAGTGGGAGGACATATTGCGAGGCCAGGCCAATCATTTAGTCTGGTCAGGTACGCGAATAGAACCAGGTATTGCATACTCCCACTACGGTTGGTCCTCTGACGTGGGTATTCACCCCAACAGACATGGGAAGCAGACGTACAGTAGTAGAAAGAGAACCAGCAGATACTAACTATCTGGTACCAGCTATACCTTAAGCCCAGTCGTAACAAGCGCCCAAGGCTCCAACACAACCAACCCCAACACCCCAAATCTCCCCTCCAGATACCGCCTCACCACACCCGGGACATCACCCTGGTACCTGGTGCGCTGCTCCTGCGTCCAAAACCTAATAGCCACAACAGGTACTATGCTCATCACGACCTCCATGAACTCCGAAATGGGGAGCGATATCTGCTTGTTCACAGAGGTGGTCTGGACGTGTCTGAATCCTGCCGTCTCCAGCTGTGCACGTACGTAGCTCTTGGAGTGCCAGCCTCTGCTGTACAGTGCGAAGAACTCCTTGGTGGAGGGGAAGGGGAGGTTGTCGGGGATGGTCATGATGGCGCTTTCGATTAGGGTTAGCCAGTCGGCTGGTTTGTGGTTAGTTGGTGTGCTTGCGTTGTCGGGTTGATTATAGGGGATGTAGCATACTAGATTGCCATGTGGAAATAGCAAGTGTGCCTCCTGGTTTGAGGATACGGAAGCATTCTGGTTGAGCAGTTAGTATGTCGTCTTTTTTAGGTAGTAGAGCTTCCGCTTACCATTCATTGCGGCCATTTCATCGAGAAAGGTGTTGAATGCTGTGCTTGGTAGAATTGGTATTAGCTCGTTTTCTTCTTCAAAATAGTGGAGATCACTCTTCATCAATACTCACCAAATCCAACGAAAACATGAGTAAAATATTCATTTGGAAGGCCCGTATCTTGCGCATCCACAAGCTTGGCCTTAGCGTTCATCCACGCTTCATCCCGGATCCTCTGCCTAGTATAGTCGAGTATCTCCTGTGTCAAATCACTGCATACCAATTTCCAGCGCTTCCTCGTCTTGTAGTGTATTTTTTGATTCAAAAAACTCGACACAATCCCCGTGCCGCAGGCGTTATCCAGCACCACCAGCGGTTTCTGGAAGGACGTTGCGATGCCGGACTGGTCGATCAGTGGCTGGGCGAACAACCCAGTGATTTTTTCGGCGACTATGTACCGCGGAACAATGCCTTTCTGTGTGTATACACCCATTCTGCTTTTGTGTGGTGGGCGTTTTCTATAAACTTGATGAGCCAAATGATATCTATCTAAATATATAACCGCAGCATAATTCGTCATATAGATCCATGTCTGAAAAAAATAGAAACACCCAATTAAAACCAACAAGACTCGCTCGAAGCCCCCAGACAGCTCTTATAGCCAAGATACAGGCCACGAAAGCAAACTCCTTTTTTTTTTTTTTGCCTGCATAACATGCCCAGCTTTTAAAGTGTCCGAGACACACACCATCTGTGAAGACCCGAAGGGTACACAAGACAAGACAACGACGCCTTCGGTCACATCACATCTGGTGGGAACCAGAAGGGCACAGTGGTCAATGAAACCCGACAGACCAATGCAGTTTTATCAATAAGTTAATAAAACATGCTGACTGTTATCTCTCCTAAAAGGAGGCGCATCCCGGGAGTTGCGAGTCCAACCACCCAGATTTGACCTAGATACCCTTGTGGGGCCTCTCATTGGAGCTGTGTCGACATGGGTCGGACAGGTCTCGGAGAATTTGTTGATTGCGTTTAACCCCGGCGAAAGTACGCTACTATAAGCTGTTTATAGCACCAGCAGGAAAGGAATTGAATAGGGGAAGTGGTATTTTTAGGGTTGTTGAACGGTAGATAAATGATGATTGTGGTGAGGGTTGTAATAACAACCACTAGAACTTAACGGCGCTAGAAATAGAGTTATCAAGAAGACATGTAATAGAGAAAAGACTAAAATCGAGAAAAGAAAAAACAAAAAAGACAAAAAGGCCAAAAAAAGTTATAACACGCCATCAAAGGATATAGATGAAAAAAACAAAAAGAATGGACTCGCGGGGAATCGAACCCCGGACCACTCACATGCTAAGCGAGTATTATACCACTAAACCACAAGCCCATCTTGTTGAAGAACAGCACCACTTTTAAGATAGACAAGGCAACATATCAGTAGAAACCCCTCATTATTATTCATTGTCTGGCACCAGACCCAAAACAGCAAACTGTAAACACCTGATCCCGCCGGCAAAACACGGCGCCCGCCAAAACAATCCACAGGCTGATCAGCCGCTATTTCGCTCCCTCATCCACCCCATCTCCCCTCCATCCCATGTCATTCATTAGTTGAGGGGCCGATTCGGTGTCGCAACCATGAGGATCACAGAGATTGTTATCGACGTATGTTCCCCGCCTTTTGATCCTTCCAAGGAAACCCGGAAGGAAGAAATAGGGAAGCTAACGGTGAGCAACAGGGTTTCAAATCGTACGCCGTGCGCACGGTGGTGTCAGGATGGTATGTTCGCTTTTCAATGCCATTGCGAAAAGACTGCTCTTCTCAGTGTTCCCGTCGCGACCCATCGACTTCTACACTGCGGGGCAGCTTTGACGAACGCCGACCGTACTGACCACTTGACCAGGGACGAGTCCTTCAATTCGATCACTGGCCTCAACGGCAGTGGGAAATCGAACATCCTCGACGCTATTTGTTTCGTTCTCGGTATCACCAACATGTCGACAGTCCGTGCCCAGAATTTACAAGATCTCATCTACAAGCGCGGTCAGGCTGGTGTCACCAAAGCCAGCGTGACCATCGTGTTCGATAATCGCGATACCGCCAAATCCCCGATCGGTTTCGAAGAATATGCCCAGATTTCCGTGACCAGACAGATTGTCCTCGGCGGGACCAGCAAATATCTGATCAACGGCCACCGCGCGCAACAACAGACGGTGCAGAACCTGTTCCAGAGTGTGCAGCTGAATATCAACAACCCCAACTTCTTGATTATGCAGGGAAGGATTACAAAGGTGCTGAATATGAAGGCGGTTGAAATCCTGTCCATGATCGAGGAAGCGGCGGGTACGCGCATGTTCGAGGATAGGAGAGAGAAGGCGGTGAAGACAATGGGCAAGAAGGAGATGAAGCTGCGTGAGATTGAGGGTCTTCTCAAGGAAGAAATCGAACCGAAATTGGAGAGACTCCGTTCCGAAAAGCGCGCGTTCCTCGACTTCCAGCAAACGCAGAGTGATCTGGAGCGTCTGACACGGCTGGTTGTGGCTCACGACTATCTGAGAGGCGGCGAGCGCCTGCGGATCGCTGGCGACGAATGCGAAAATAAGAGGCGAAAGGTGCAGGCCCTTGAAGACAACGCGGCTAAGTTGAAGAGTGAGATTGTTCACTTGGAGGAGGATATGAAGCGAGTGAAGGCTGCGCGCGACAAGGAACTGCGCAAAGGAGGAAAGTTCCAGGCACTCGAGGATGAGGTCAAATCGCACTCGCACGAACTCGTTCGACTGACGACTGTCTTGGATCTGAAGAATAACGGTATTTCCGAGGAGAAGGAAAAGCGAAAGGACGCACACAAGAACGTCAAAGACCTGGGAAAACTACTCCAGGAGAAGAAAAAGGTGTACGACAAGTTACAGGCACAGTACGACTCCGCAAAGGCAGAACTCGATGCTCGCACGGCCGAAGTGGAGCAAAAAGAAGAGCTTCTCCAGACACTGCAGACAGGTGTTGCATCCAAGGAAGGTCAAGAAAGCGGATACCAGGGTCAGCTTCAGGACGCCCGTAACCGCGAAAGTACGGCAGCGACAGAACAAGAGCAGGCCAAGCTCAAGATTGCTCATTTGGAGAAGAGGATCAAAGAAGACGAGCCGAGGGCGAAGAGAGCCAAGGAGCAGAACTCGGGGCTTCTCAAGGAACTGGAGGGCCTCAAGTCCCAGGCTAAGAAACTTGAATCCGAACTTACGCGACAAGGTTACGAACCTGGAAGAGAAGAACAACTGTACCAGGAACAGACCGGCTTGCAAAGGGAAATTCGCGAGCTGCGCCAGAGAGCCGATGGGCTACAAAGGAAGGTTGCGAACATCGATTTCAATTACAATGACCCGTACCCCGGCTTTGACCGCTCCAAGGTCAAAGGATTGTTGGCTCAGCTCTTTACAGTCGATAAGGAGAAGCTGCAAGCCGCAACTGCGTTGGAAATCTGCGCCGGTGGCCGCCTGTACAACGTTGTCGTTGATTCGGCAGAAACAGGCACGCAGTTGCTTCAAAAGGGCAAGCTGCGAAAGCGCGTGACCATCATTCCCTTGAACAAGATTTCGTCTTTCCGAGCATCCGCCGAAAAGATCGGGGCTGCCCAAAATATCGCACCCGGAAAGGTGGACCTCGCCTTGTCCCTCATCGGATATGAAGAGGAACTCAATTCGGCGATGAACTACGTGTTTGGGAATACCTTGATTTCCCAAGATGCAGATACGGCCAAGAGAGTGACATTTGACCCGTCTGTGCGGGTCAAGAGCGTCACGCTTGACGGTGATGTCTATGACCCCTCGGGTACACTCTCTGGTGGTAGCTCGCCCAATTCCAGCGGGGTTCTCGTTACACTGCAAAAGCTGAACGAGCTCACCAGAGAGATCAGGGGCAAGGAGCGAATCTTGGCCACATTGGAGGACACCATGAGAAAAGAGAAGAAGAAGCTCGACTCGGTTCGCGCGCTGAAACAGGAGTTGGATCTTAAGAGCCATGAGATTACGATGACCGAGCAGCAAATCAGCGGCAACTCATCTTCATCGGTACGTTACCAGCGAGCTTTGGGACAATTCGACCATTCGGTATAGAAGCTAACATGAATGGGATACCGATATAGATTATCCAAGCTGTCGAGGACTCGAAGGCAAATATTGTGCAGCTGAAGAAAGATATCTCTGACGCCAAATCTCGACAGATCGAGGCATCCAAGGATGTCAAGCGCATCGAGAAAGACATGGTCGAATTCAACGACAACAAGGACGACAAACTGGCAGAACTGCAAGATTCGCTGAACTCTCTCAAAAAGAGCCTGACCTCCAACTCAAACTCGGTCAAATCTCTGCAGAAAGAACTCCAATCGTCCCGCCTCGAGTCAGAGCAGGTGGGAAGCGATCTTTCTGCGGCGGAGGAGCAGAGCGCCGAGGCTGAAAACACGCTTAAAGCCCAGATGGAAGAGATTGAGTCGCTGGTGAGAGAGCAGGCTCGGATCAAGGTAGATAGATAAATACCCCAGGCTTCGATGGCGATTCCATGCTAATCTAGCACGCAGGACGCGCATGATATGGCCGTGGCCCACCTGGAGGACGAGAGAGCCAAACTGACTGGGTTTGACGATGAGATTCGGGAGCTTGAAGAAACGATGCAGTCGAAGAACTCCCAGCTCACCGAAGGAAGCCTGGATATGCAGAAGCTTGGCCACCAAGTTGAGAAGCTGCAAAAAGACCAACAAGTGGCGGCCCAGGCGGTGTCTTACATGGAAGAAGAACACGAGTGGATTGCCGACGAGAAGGATAACTTCGGGCGCGCGAACACTGTCTACGACTTCAAGAACCAGAACATTGCTGAATGCAAGTCGACGCTCAAGAATCTCACTGAGCGATTCCAGGGCATGAAGAAGAAGATCAATCCCAAGGTTATGAACATGATCGACAGCGTCGAGAAGAAGGAAGTGGCGCTGAAGAACATGATGAAGACTGTCATTCGGGACAAACGCAAGATCGAAGAGACCATCATCAACCTGAACGAGTACAAGAAGGAAGCCCTCCACAAAACGTGGGTCAAGGTCAACGGTGACTTCGGGCAGATCTTTGCCGAGCTTCTTCCAGGCAGTTTCGCTAAGCTCGACCCCCCCGAGGGCAAGGACATCACCGATGGCTTGGAGGTCAAGGTGTCGTTGGGCAAGGTGTGGAAGCAGAGTCTCACGGAACTCAGTGGTGGTCAACGGTACGTTCCAGGTCGCTGTTCCAATACGCTATTTTACAAGCTAATAACCCCGCTATAGATCTCTGATTGCCCTTTCCTTGATCATGGCGCTCCTGCAATTCAAACCCGCCCCGATGTATATCCTGGACGAAGTCGACGCCGCGCTGGATCTATCTCACACGCAGAACATTGGCCGTCTGATCAAGACCCGCTTCAAGGGGTCCCAGTTCATCATCGTCTCCCTCAAGGACGGCATGTTCCAGAACGCGAACCGCATTTTCCGGACGAGGTTCAGCGAAGGAACGAGTGTTGTCCAGGCTCTGACGCCTGCAGACATGAAATAGATACCCTGTTGGCTGATGTGATTCGTTTTTTTTTTGATATACTTTTGTTCTCCAACGCTGCTGTGTCTTCACAGGAAGCGCTGTTCATGGGTCAACTCCGAGGGACTTGGGATGGAGGTGTTTCGGTCATTGTACATGATTTTCTTCTTCTTTGGATGATATTGTTGTTTAATGATGATGCCTAATGAATATATCGTTTCCGGCGTCTGCTTGGATTGCTTCTCGCCGGGGGAATTTAACCGATGCGGAATCCTGGGTGTTTACCTTACTAAGGCATCAGATCGCGGGCAATTCCGAGGCAGCAAATCAGTACCCGACCCGACCGTTGAAAGCCGATACCTGATCTGTAGATGTCATTCACCTCGATTCTCTGCTATAACATATTCCTCCGGATTAAGTTTCTGCTGATAGACAGTTTCTCCCTGTTTGTATACCAGCCCGTACAATACTCCGTACATAGCCGCGATCCGACAGGCTCCACTACCCATCGCTGTCTTTGGCACCGCCTGCCCGCCTAAATCCTAGCGCCACCTTTCCTACCGCGGAACAACCCCCCCCAATAAGTTGTCATTGCTTAACTATTTGTTACTGCGCCGACTTATTCCAGACCGTCTGGGCACTGATCTAACCTTCGTCATCTTCTCCAACCCTCGATCTGTGACCGATCTCACCCCCCTCATTTTCATTCTATTCCAGACAGCCTCGCCTCTGACCTGTCTCCTACCGATCTGCGCCCCCCTGATCGTTGACACCGCCTGAATCCAGCATCCTTTGCCTCTCTCCATCACTGTATACGCTCTCCACGTAACCCGTTGGCCACACCTCCCGAGTCACCACCACAAGCGCAACCATGATGCCCGACGAAGAACCCTCACTCAACATCCCCTCGCTACTCACCCTTGCGGTCGTCTCGTTCTTCGTCATCCGGTGGTTCCTTAACCGGGATGAGCCGGGCGCTGGAGGGAGTCGCTCTCGCGGGAACGGGGTCGATCCGGCTCAGGTGGCGCAAATCTCGCAGATGTTCCCCCAGCTAGGGATTCGCGACATCGCGTGGGATTTGCAGCGCAATGGTGGGAATGTTGCCGCTACCACGGAGAGGATCTTGATCGGTCGGGGTTTGGAAGTGGTAAGTTTGACACCTCCGCCGCCTCCTCCGTTGGACTGGACAGACACGCGACCACCTACAGTGTATCGTTCTGTCTCATGTCGCCAATAGAACCAATACCCCTTCACTTTCCCAACGTTGATGAGCAGTACTGATAAACGAAATGTAGCCCCCTCCCTCCTTCCAACCCCAGATCAACCTCCCCACCGGAACGACCGCTCCACCGCCCCCCACCAGCGCGACAGCCCCGAAGCCAAACGCCCAGGACTTGATCTCCCGATACAACCTTTCCTCAAAGGTCACCGGAGAGAGCGCCGAGACCGCCTCGACGGAGTCCAAGAATGCGTGGTCGCAGAACAAGGACGAGCGCCAACGTCTGCTCCAGAAGCGCAGGGATGACATGATCTTGGCTGCGCGGAAGAGGATGATGCAGAAGGTTGTGGAGACGGATCAATAAGCTTGTACGCTGTTATGGTAGTACGTGCTTGGTTTGTCGGCATTCTTGCTTGCGTGATTTTTCCTTGTTTTGATGTGTTGTCAGAATGATACCTTTTGTCTTATTCGTTTCTTTTCTTTTCTCTTCATTCTGTTGTATTTTTTTCTCTTCTTCTTTTCTCTTTTCTGTGTCTTGGCGTGCCATGTTGACTTCCTCGGACATTCGTGGTCCCTAACATGCGAGCCCATACCCCTTGAATCACGCGGTGATGCCATCTGAGGGTTCCTTTTGGGCATTCCTAGAATGGCGGTTCTCGCATGCGTTCTTCTACTTTGTTCCACATATCTTCCCCCACCATACTCTCTTCTCTTACTCATCTTGGTCTTTCTGCAACAGAGCGTCGCATGTTTATGGTGTTAGGTTTCAATCAGATTACCTGCGATCGCAATTGATAAGATAGGGTATATATATATACATAGAAATGCGCCTTTCAGCAAAATGTGGCACTAAGGAACCGCCTGTAACTCCAAACAAGAAAGCCAGAATAGGCTATAGACATCCAACAAGAGAGTTGCGTGGCACTTCAGAATTCCATGTCGTCGTCATCGTCGTCGTCTTGGGTAGCGCCGTATCCGCCAGAACCCATTTCTCCTGCCATTTGCTCCCGACGTGCTTGCTCCTTCGACGCGCCGATTCGCCTGTAGAACAATACCATCAGCAATCATCCTTTCCATGAAGCCTCCCCTCGTAGGACCAATAATTGAGTAACATACCTCAGTCCATCCACCACCCCAGAGATAAACCCCCGGCCCTCTCCGATCTCCATAGCCCCAACACCAGTCAAAGAGACAACATTCCCACCAACAGCCGCTGAATCCAGCACATCCACGCCGGACCGCATCTTCGACGAGCGAACCTCCCTCAGCTCCTTCAACAACCGCCTTGTCTGATCCGGATCCACCAGATCATCGCTCGCAGCCTCCAAGAGCATCGTCCCGACCTCCAACCAATGAAACGGAAGGCGAGGCGCCTCTCCCACAGGTCCTTGATCCACGGCCACGTTCTGCGGGAGGAACGGCGACGAGGGGAAGTATCGGTTCCCGTCGGGCGTGTAGTGCGGGATGGCGACCGGCCGCTTTTGGTAGTGCTCTTGGGCGCTGGGCTGGTTGGGGAGAGGCGGGGGTGGTGAGAATGCGCCTTTTGAGTCGCCGTGCTGGGTTTCGATGTCGAGGATGAGGGAGAGGGATTCGGGGTGGAGCCAGGATGGGGGGAGGATGTTTGCGCGGCGTTGGCGTTTGAGGAGGAGGGCGAGCCAAAGGGGGAGGGTTGCCCGCCGGGGGGGGAGGAGAGGTTCGATGGGTCCCTGGTAGGTTTGGAGTCTGTTAGTGATTGTCTGTGGTTACGGTTGGGGTGAGATTGGGCTGTCTATTGGTGTGGTGGTATCTTTATTGTTCTTTATGATATTCCACGATAGGCTGTGATTTCTTTTTTTCTTCTTCTTCCTCTTCCTTATTTGGTCACAACTTATAGGATTATGGCGCAACACAAGATTTATATAACATTTTTGCAATGAACTTACCCCTAGAAGTTCAAGCCCTTCCAACCGCTGTCGTGGAAGGATGCTGACCATCTCCATCTCAGCCAGAAACGAGATCTCCGGGGGCGTGATGCCCCGCGGGAGGGGAAACGCCATTCAAGGTCACTGCGGGAGCGATTGGGGAAGGAGCCGGACAGGAGAGATCAGGGGGATATCTGAGAGGTGTGATATGAGATCATTGGTATAAGGGCCGCTGCAACTTCGTCTCTTTGCGGCCGATATAAAGGAAGGAAAGTGCCGGATGGAACGCGAGAGAGTGAAGGTCTTGCCCGATGCGGCCGATGCGGCCGTGGTTTGTTTTGTTTGCACATCGCTCCTCCACCAGAGCTTCAGGTCGGAGGAGCTTCATTCTTTTCCACGCTTCTTCACTCTGCACCTTCTCCTTCGTCTCGATTTACGCCGCGCAGACTCGATGATAGACTGATCTGCGATACCATGGAGAAACTGAAGCCCGATTCGGGTCTCGCCCGTGCGGCCCGCTATGTGGTTCCCTTCGTCCTCCTGTTGATTCCCTTCTGGATGATCCAGATCAATAATGTTGTGCCGGAGCCGTACCTGGACGAGGTGTTCCATGTCTCCCAGGCTCAAACGTACTGGGAACACAAATGGACGCAGTGGAATCCAAAAATCACAACTCCGCCTGGTTTATACTTTTGGTCGTACGCTATCTGCGCTGCTCTCCTGGCGGTCCGAGGATCGCCCACGAAGCTCAGCACGGAAGCTTGCCGGGGCACCAATGTCGCCGCCGCGGCCGTGTTCCTCCCCTGGAGACTGCAGAAATTGCTTGATCTGATCAGAAAGCAGCGCAATGACCGTCCGTCGGGTGCGTGGTTGAGCCACACCGTCTTGAACATCTGTCTCTTTCCGCCGCTGTTCTTCTTCTCGGGCTTGTACTACACGGATATTCTCGCTTTGCTAGTCGTCGTCGAAGCTTACAACTGGGATTTGAAACGTATGTCTGGACTTGGAGTTGCGTCAACGCCAACCCTTGTGTTCATTGGGCTGGGCGTGGCGGCTCTGGCCTTCAGGCAAACCAATATTTTCTGGGTTGCCATTTTCCTGGGTGGACTGCGGGTGATCCGGAAATTGCGAGTCACTTCCAAACCCTGCAAATCGACCGGGTTTGTTGATGTTGCGAGAAGGGGTTTCAATAACGAATTGTTTGATCCTCTGGTGTCGGAGGCTTCTTTTCTTGGTTCGTAACTATCTGTCAGGACCGCCAGGGGCGTGCTAACGATGCGATCTAGATTATTTTAAAACGGCTCTCTCCCTAGGGGCTGCTGCTATGGGCAAGTTGCGTCAAGTGGCACTGTCACTCATCCCTTATCTCCTTATTCTCGCCGCGTTTGGTGGCTTCGTTGCGTGGAACAATGGCGTTGTCTTGGGTAAGTCGTACTCGGTTTGTTAGGCCCGGAAACATGACTTACACAATTTAGGACACAAGGAATTCCATACCGCGGGCTTGCACTTGTCCCAGATGCTTTATATTTGGCCGTATTTCCTATTCTTTTCATGGCCTATTCTGGTCGTGCCGGTAGTCAACCTGCTCCTTCCGCAAGGCTGGCTGCCCAAGTTTGTGGACTACGGATTTCCTCAAAAGCAAAAGGGTCTCCCGAAACTCTTGACTACGCTCGTCATCGTGCCACTGATGCTGGCTGTGGTTCATTTCAATACCGTTGTCCATCCGTTCACCCTGGCTGATAACCGGCACTACATATTCTATGTATTCCGCATTCTCCTTGGCTACCACCCGGCTGTGAAGTACGCTGCTGTAGCAGCTTACTTCTACTGTGGCTGGATGGTTCTTTCTGCTTTTGGATTCTCGACTGTCCCGCTCCCACCTAAACTGGTTCCCGCTGTCCCCGCTGGAGAGAAACCTGCCCAGCCAGGACAGAAAAAGGAAGCCAAGACAAAGCAGAAGACGGAGCGTCAGGCAAGATTAACCAAGAGGGCACCCGGGTCGCCTCAACCGGCGAAGGAGCCCGTGAGACAACAGCAGCCTATCACGAAAGAAGCCATCGCCAGAATCCAAGAGCACATTGTCCAGCGCCAGCGGCAACAGCAAGGGTCGCCGCAGGTGAGCTTCGTTCTAGTGTGGCTGGTTGCGACTGCGCTCTCACTCGTCACCGCGCCCCTGGTGGAGCCTCGCTACTTCATTATCCCCTGGGTGATGTGGCGATTGCATCTGCCCCCACACCCGACCCCGCTCGTATATCGTTTGCAGCGCCCGCGCAATGACAGGGAGGATCTCGACGCGAAAATCGCAACCAACTTCACCCTTTTCCTCGAGACCTACTGGTACTTGGCCATTAACGCCGCGACGGGATATATCTTTTTGTATAATGGGTTTGAATGGCCGCAGGAACCCGGGAAGATCCAACGATTTATGTGGTGATTCAGTGTGGGTTCTTACACTCGTTTAATTTCTGTGTACCAAGTGTATTATTATCGCGCAAAAGCCTTATAATGTTTTGCGCTCTGTATATAACTATTCACTCTATTCGTTTACTGTATTACATCAAGAATATGAGGACCTGTGGAATCATTGCCAAAATTGACAGCTTTTGGGTTTAGAGACTGTTTCCTTCCCAAATGTAACCTTTCTGGCAAAAAGGCAAGCATCCCCCCCCCCCCCCCCCCCAGTCTTTCATTACGAATCGGGTTCTAACGAGGATAACAGCCTGGAGAGACCGGAGAAGGAGACAGCTCGGCCTGTCTGTCCTCCGAATCCTCTGCGCGAATGCTAGATTGACCCCTAAGGTGAGTCTACTCGGGGCTGAATCCTATAGTGTGGTTGCATTTATGTCTGTAGTATAGTCGTTTGTGGCTTGATGCACGAGATGTGTTTATATCTGCCAAGATCCAGTCAAGCCAGCCCGTTCAACAAGAAAATGGTGACAAGATATTTTCTATGAGCTAAAAACTTACATAGGCACTTGTATCATTCAGACATATTGTAGTCTTGCTGGGTTGAAACCTCACTTGGTGTTCGTATAAACGAGTGGGCGTCCGGCCCGGAAACTATCAGAAAGAGAGGATATCCGCTCGAATGATAGTAGATCTAAACATGTCGCCCAGGAACCCATATGAGCTTCCCTAGATACCTAGTTCACGCCAGACCCTCATCTCTCTTCCAAAGTTCATCACAAACCTCTCATGAACACTATCGACAATCATGAGTCAGTAGCGGCTGTCAAATCCGGACAAGACCCGTCCCTGGCAGCGCGACACCTTCTTCAGCAGCTCACGGAAGATGAGAGATTGTCCTTGTTGCACGGTGATGTCGAGTTCTGGGAAGGGATGCATAATCTCTACACCGGCGTTTACCTGTCTACCCCATACGTCCACGGCGAGACCTCTGAGGTTACCTGCGACGTAACATCTGTAAGATTATCAGCCGCCAGAGTTACTTGCGTCCGGGCATCAGTGGCTCCGTGTGGTAGACTTGGCTCCGGGTCAGTGATATCGATCGAGGAGACCACCAGTCCGGTAACCACCGCCATTAACCTTCCAGTCTGTGGTATACTCTCGGAGCCCCATCCAGGGAGCTTCCCATTGAATACACCTCCCGTAGACACCGTGAAGTTGTAGGAAGTAAGATCCCATGCCAGGCCCTCGTTGCCGGCAGCTTCCCTACACTCAGATACCCTTGAGGGGTCTCTAGGTGGCTTGGCAGTACATCCGGCCCGGACAACAGAGGTTTAGCTGATGATCACTTCACATGGAATCCAATTTTTTCTCGGGATCTTGTAGATATCCGGCAAATAGAAACCGCCATGGATTGATAGGTTTCTTTAGAAGGGCTCATGCGAGAAATCGTCATTGAGCATGTGGGGAAGATGCAAGTGCCGTGATCGATACCCGCACTCTCCATAGTGAGCCTGGCGTCAGGGTATTCAGCCACCAAGAGTAACCAAAGGTCTAGATCAGACAATGATTGAATAGCTCCATGTCGTGCCGGACACAATATGTGAATTTGGGGGAAAAAGAGAGGCTCTTGTTTACATATCCGAGGACCGTTCTGTCTTCGATGTAAACCCCCGCGGCCACACCGCCTGGAGCAAATGCTGGATCTGCCGGACAAAATATTGACCGCCGGCCACATGCGTCGGAAGCCGACGAGAATCACCAGGAATCCTTCGATCGAACTTGCATCATCCTCAGGTACCGGCCCTGCGAGACTCAACCTGTTCAGCTGGTTTGGGTAGGAAATTCTGACACTCCCAGTAGCCACAGGGCTGTTTTTACTCGAGGGTGAGTTGAGCTGGACTTTGCCTATGGACCCTCGAATGACAAGAATGCCGGTTCGGAGGCCGGTGCATATCGGTTGATGTCATTCTTGAACTGGAGCTTTCCGGGGGGTGATTTCATGGCATTGCGTTCTGTGCCAGTTGCCAATTTATTGCTGGAAAATCTATAATAAACAGTGACTAACACACTATCATGTCAACAGTCTAGACCCGCTTTTCCATGGTTGATCCTTAGGTGCATATCTTGGGAAATCCGATAACAATTGGCACAATGGCTGCAAACTCAATTAACCTGGCGTGGAGGTCGCTCGGCCCCAGAGCTCGCGCTTGCCAGTCCCTTCGCTATCTGCACCGGCCGTCGATCGCCAATGGATTGTTAGTGCGTCCGCCGGGCGGTTACCGCCACTCCTCGGACAAGGCATCCGGGGCGACGGAAAAGGCTGCGGAGAAGGTGACAGAGCCGGTAAAGGAGTCTTTCAAGGAGGTGCCCAAGAAGAAAAGCCGCACACTACGGAGGACCGTCTGGGGGACGACGGTGGCCGCTACCTTACTCGTTGGCTACCTCTACGGGACAGACACACGGGCGAGTATCCACAGATATGGCGTGGTTCCGCTGATCAGAATGCTGTACCCGGATGCGGAGGATGCGCATCATGTCGGCGTGGATACACTGAAGACTCTGTACGAGTACGGACTTCATCCGCGCGAGAGGGGAAACCCGGACGGAGACGGTGCTTTGACGACGGAGGTAAACCACTTACTCCCGACCCTGCTGGCGAGATAATAGCGTATAATTAACCGCCAGTCTCGCCCCGCGTCTCCCCCGATTTAGGTCTTTGGATATACGCTCTGCAACCCGATCGGAATCTCCGGCGGTCTGGACAAGCACGCCGAGATCCCGGACCCGCTGTTTGCGACCGGTCCGGCTATCGTCGAAGTCGGCGGCACGACTCCTCTCCCGCAGGATGGCAACGCACGACCCCGTGTCTTCCGCCTGCCGTCCCAGAAGGCCATGATCAACCGATACGGGCTGAACTCCAAGGGTGCTGACCACATGGCGGCACTCCTGGACCAGCGCGTGCGCGACTACGCCTACGCCCACGGCTTCGGCGCACACGAACTTGCGGTTGAGCGTGTGCTGAACGGCGACGCCGAGGTTCCCCCAGGCAGCTTGATCCCCGGTAAGCTGCTAGCCGTGCAGGTAGCCAAGAACAAGTCGACGCCCGACTCCGACCTCGAGGCCGTCAAGAACGACTACGTATACTGCGTCGATCGCGTAGCCAAGTACGCCGACATTCTTGTCGTGAACGTCTCCAGCCCGAACACGCCCGGCCTGCGCGATCTGCAAGCGACGGCCCCGCTGACAGCCATTCTGACGGCTGTCGTCGGCGCAGCCAAGAGCGTCGACCGGAAGACCAAGCCCTTCGTCATGGTCAAGGTCAGTCCAGACGAGGACGCCGACGAGCAGGTATCAGGCATTTGCAGCGCCGTGCAAGCCTCAGGCGTCGACGGCGTGATCGTCGGCAACACGACGAACCGCCGCCCCGCGCCGCTTCCCAAGGGCTTTGCCCTTCCGGAGAAGGAGGAAGGTACCCTGCAAGAGACGGGCGGATACTCGGGCCCGCAGCTTTTCGACCGCACCGTCGCCTTGGTGGCTCGCTACCGCGCGCTGCTGGATGAGGAGCGCGCGGAGTCTGAAAATAAGGATCCACGAAAGGTCATCTTCGCTTCGGGGGGTATCACCAACGGCGCTCAGGCGTTGGCTGCTCTGAAGGCCGGTGCGTCGGTGGCTATGATGTACACTGGTGTTGTCTACGGGGGTGTGGGGACTGTGACCCGTGTGAAGCAGGAGATGCGCGAGCAGAAGAAGCTGGAGTAAACATCTCTAGATTAAAGCATAAATAGAGAAGGAAGCGAATCCTGTAGATACTCCTATAATACTGGCTTCAAAGCACATTGCATGTTTAACGCTGAAGGCATATCTGTCTGATGTTGATTGATACCAGATACCATCCACGAAACTCAAGACAGTCTACGCATAAATTCCCATTCCGCCTGTACACCCAACGAGAGTTGGGCCAAGCGCAAGTGATTAGATGGAAGTAGATGCCGCAGCACATAGGGGTACAATTTGCCACCCCATCTATCAGACATGAATGATATCATAATCCAATGACATCATTGTACCCTATTACCCAATAGGCACAACCCTGTAGTATCATGGTTTTCCTGGGAGTCAACTGGCAATGAGATTGAACTACCTTAGTAAAAACTGATTTCAGACCCCCTTGCGTTCATAATCATACACGTGTTATGTATTTTTCAGAAATAATTTCTATAAGTTCTATAATATTTCATATTCATAGACTCATCCCACAAACCTGGGCGATGGGAAATCCCGGCCCGTTGCGTTGCGGGTACAAGAGTGGAGTTGTGATGTGCAGAGTGTGGTGCCTCTAACAACCTAGCACGGTGTATTCGATGGCGCTAATGATGTTCCTGTTGAGGTCTACATATGCATATATAAAATCTACTTAGGATTTATTTAGGTAGACTGCGAGACACATACTCGTGGTATGTTTAGCTAGGAGGTTGTTGTTTGTAGGTAGTTATCATGGTGATAGTTGAAGACGATGATGGATTATCATCTTTACTCAATACTTCCCACCGATAGACCTCATATACAGTGAGCTATCCCTACGGATTAAATTCAAACCCAATAGCCACGCCCTACGACCTCATCTGATAGGAGAGAAACGGTGGCTGAGGCCAAGCTTTCCCGATAGACGACTCTATGCCCAGCAGGGGATAGAATGATGGCCCTGGTGCAACGAGGGCGTCCGCGTGACACTCCTGTAATGTACCTAGTGTGTGACATATGAGCTTGAGCTGTGTCTGGGCCTGTGCCTGGGCCTTATAGGGCGATGTGAGGTGTGCTTATTTGGGGAGGAAGCTTGTTGTGGCGTCGTGTGTGGTCGATCAATTGTCTTTGATGGGGTTGTTCTTCTATGATGTGATGCGTCATTGCTGAATTTTTAGATGGAAAGCCAGGGAGAGTATGGATTAGGAGGCTTGAAAGCTAGCTGGTCTTTGTAAGTTCGTTATGGTTTGAAGGCCACCGGCCTTGGTAAAAGTCATGGTGAAAGACAGCCAGGCGTTGGAAGAAATCTTCCGCTGTGTCCTTGTTGAATAGACTTCGTATCTAGTTTAGTATTGATTGCTGATATTGATTAATAGACAGTGTTGCTTTGTCCCTCTATGCGCTCAATCGCAGAAGTCGATCAAACCTATCGAATACAGGTAACAAGCACACGTAGGTTGATGCAGGCCTTGAATATTTGATTATCGCAAGCCTACCTGTCAACCCACCTAAGCTCCGATACGTAGCAGTACGTGACAATCATGAGACGCAGGGAAGTGGATCCGGATATTTACCAGTGTATAGACTACCGACACTCGAAGAGAAACCGGAATCCGAGGCGAGCGGATGGTAGTCTGGTCTCCATTTCCCCTAAGTGTGGGGAAATGGACCCCTCGTAACCAAGAACCAATCAGCCAACCAGCTCAGAAATAAATCAAGATAAAAAAAAAAAGTAGAAACTGAAAGAGAAAAAAAAAGATGGAAGGAAAAAGAAAAGAAAAGAAAGAGGTAGATCCTCCCACGGGATGCATCCCAGCCTGTTAGAACTCGTTCGCATGTCCAGTCAGTGTCCACTTCATGATTTCTGATATGTCAGTTCTGTTAGTGTATAGAATTACCGAAGGATGAGACTTCCAAAGTGGATAATCTGGAGGAGCTGAGTAGCATCCATCTCCCTCTTAGACGAGCTCGGCGAGCAACGTATGATACTAAAGTTTCGATAGCATCGATATGTTATTTCATTCCTACCGTGCCTTTCTTCCCCTCGGATTACCTGCTGGATAGTTTGACCCCGCGGGAGGGGTTACATGAAGCTAATCCGGCGAAGACCTCTCCGACGAGGCTTGGAAAGACCAGAAAGGTTGAAGGAGGGAGGAGAGACGAGCGGGCTTATTGAGGGGTAATGGCGTCGGGGCTGGTGTGCCCGGTTTTTCCCATCCCCCCTCCATTTCCAAATGAAGCCAAGGAAGAAAAGCGTAATGAAGTGGGCGCAGAAAGTCTAGGCGTAGAGAAAGTCCATCGAAACGAGGGATGGCTTGGATGGACCTGGACTGGATGAAGCCATTCCCGAGCATCCCGCTGAGACTGGCCTAGACTAGCGCAGTGCCAATACGGGGCTAACCAAGTATTAGGTAGTAGCAATCCGGGCTACTTGGAAATCGGCTAGTATGCTCCCTCGAACCATTCCAATCAGAAGGTCACTCTAAAGCCGTTGCCATGATTGATCGGAAGTCAGACCCCCGCCAATCATTTGGTCAGGAGTGGGTCAGTCGGGATGGAATCGATTCTCAAATGGTGTTCGGAAATAACCAGGAGGTGCTAGTGAACTGGTAGGTGACATGGACTATTGGTGCTGCCTGGTTTCTATTGTATCCATCTCTTTGGTTTTGTATGATGAGAGCCGACAAGAGTCATGGAGGCGTTGGATGAGGGTGTGATGGGGCGATCGACCATCATATAGTAATCTACCTGATGGTCGGCCACACATCCCACCAACGAAACTGATAGGACTATGATGATGTATGGATCGTCAATCGTAAATACCCTCATAATCAAGTTGAGCGCGCATCCTCTCACCCGCAGCCCGCATGAGCCAGTCGACCCTTGCCCAACACGCTTCTTCTCCGCCATCGCTTGCTTTTATTGGTTCCGGCCCGATTGCCGTAGCCTGTCACATCGGTCGACGCACCTCAGGCATACAGAGGAGTGTTACGACTTCATACGACCGCTGGGCCACTCTGGAGCTCCTACCCATGAGGGTTCACTTACCTATTCCTCTCAATCACAGCCACCACATCTGATCTTAGTATATGCTCGGCAACATTCTCCAGGGAGCGATTCCTTTTGAAGGCATGGAATTAGCTCATATGCCTTCTGCGAGGGATACAGAAGCGTCCGATTGGTGGATATCACCCATCGGAGTCAAATATGAGAATTCCCTTTTATAGCAGGGGTTGATGGCATACACGGCGAGCTGTGCCCCGAGCTGTGAAATGAGACCACTCTCATTCAAACCGGTTTGATACGAAGCCCCCCGGACTCCCGAGCTTTAGTGATAGGGCCTCCGACACTAGGCGCTAGGGAGGTATAGCGGGCTATAGAGACAAGCTCCACCAGCACATCGGTGTTGTCAGGCTAGCAATAGACGAGGACAGGAAACTGGACTGGTGTAATTAATTCGAGAATAGTAATCTGTATGCCGCTGAGGCACACCTACGGCGGTGGCGTTATCCCATGTCGCAGCAGTAGATGAATGTCCGGTGAACCTAAACTGAAGGCTGTTTGGCTTCCTAAACGGTCCGATGCAAATCACTTTCACTGCAAGGGGATCGAAAATGAACAGCCACTCTCATTGGATTCAATTTGTCAAAGTCACTGCAATTGTAACCCGTGCTGTCGCTTCTTCATTTGATACCAGAGCATATGACGCAATGGTGGGGTAGCGATAACCAAGAACCGGCCTCGAACAAAGCCTCTGATTCCTCGAGCCGGCGCAAGTAGTTGCGTGTTTGGATCTTCTCCCCAACCAGTGGAGAAATGGCCGTCTCATTCGAAGTTGCATGTTGCGCAGGACGCAACATTCACTAAAGGACTAGAAAGATAGTCTTGTCTGGGCGTTTTAGACCTTGGACGCGACTGGCTGAAATGCACGGAACGGGACTAGCCACTGGCCACTCACTATAGCCTCCTCTCCTCCCCTGATGCCCCATGCGCCATCAGCACTGGTCCCTCCAAAGTTTGGGTCGCGCGAGGGGGCAAGGACTGGGGGAGAGGGGTTGAAACTCAACTATAAAGTGTCCTCGAATTCCCCTCCTGTGCTGACGGTTTCCCCTTTGTCTCTTCATTCTTCATCAACAGACTCAAGTTTCAGTCTTCTTCATTCTATACAACTAGAAAAACATCCCTTTCATCCTCATCTCACTACTCATCTTCACAATGTCCGACCTCAAGCCCCTCCGCATCGTCATGGCCTGCGACGAAGCTGGCCAGCCCTACAAGGAGACCATCAAAGCCATCCTGGAGAAGAACCCCCTCGTGGATTCTGTCCAGGACGTCGGTGTCAACTCGACCTCCGACAAGACCGCCTACCCTCACCCTGCTGTCGACGGCTCCAAACTCATCGCCGAGGGCAAGGCTGACCGCGGTCTCTTCATCTGCGGTACCGGTCTGGGTGTGGCCATCGCCGCCAACAAGGTTCCCGGCATCCGCGCCGTCACGGCCCACGACTCCTTCTCCGTGGAGCGCTCGATCCTCTCCAACGACGCGCAGGTCCTCTGCATGGGCCAGCGTGTCATCGGCATCGAGCTTGCGAAGAAGCTCGCCACGGAGTGGTTGACCTACCGTTTTGACCCCAAGAGCGCCTCCGCCTCCAAGGTCCAGGCCATCTCCGACTACGAGGCCCAGTTCGCTGGCAAGGCCTAAGTCGTCCCTGTCGTCAAAAAGCCCACAACTAAAAACTCAAATCAAAAGAGAGGGAGAAAAAAGAAACCATGGTGCTGGGATCCACCTCGAACCAACATCACCTGCCTCCTTCATCCAAAGGATCCTTTTGTCTGGCGGTGAATCTTGATGATCGACATCTGTCTTCCGTCGGGATCTCTATTTTGGGCATGTCCGGACGTTGGATATATCGTTCTCCACATTTTTTTTTTTTTCTTTTGCGTCAAACGAATCTATGATACCACGAAGCGACGGGATGATTATGCTTGGCCGGATCTCCGTTCAAATTCCTTCCTGAATTGTAGTATAGGATGAGACCTATATCAAATACAAACTATTATCTCGACTGAAACTCCGCTAATTAACACCGTAGCAATTCAGTAGGACCACGATATCTGTATAGTTCCTAGTTCAATAACGGGACGCTGACTCACCCGCCGATTCTGTGGGGATCGATCCGCTTCGATCTTCATCCAGGTTGCTCGTGTATAATTGGAACAACAACCCAGCCAGCAGGTCTGGCTGCAATGGGCAACGCTTTCCCTTGTCCTGCTGCCGGGTCGAACGAATTTTCATGCTCTGGTCCTTGTAATCCTCCGAGAACAGTCAAAACCCCGAGCGGGAAGCCAGGTTTCCCCATATAATTGAATTCTAGAGCGTCATATGAGCATCAGCACCAGGAGATCCCATACCAAACTCGACTCATCCGGCCGATAGACCTGCACCCTTTCACCTGAGATCCACTCTAGAGCTCACGCGCCATCCTTCGCTGTTCTTTTCGCCCTTCTTTTCGCCGCACGTGTCCCGTCAACGAATCCTTTCCTGACGCATCGTGGTGGATCATCGGCAGAAAAGTGCCCCACTCTCGACCGGCCCCTCCGCGAACTTCACGGAACAACCGAAAGGGAAAGACTAAGGAACAACCTATTCAGGGGTCTTTCAACTCTGTACGCGTGACCGGTACGATTTTGCAGCTCCAGACCGTTCCAGAACTCAAGTACCCGCCTTTATTATGTCATTCGAGCTGAAGGATAAGGGCAATCGGCTCTTCAAGGAGGGTGACTATAGCGGGGCGGAAGACTTGTACTCCCAGGCGTGAGTGTTGTACCCTGTTAAGCAACCCCGGTGTTACATCCCGCGAAGCGAAGCGTGTCGCGGGGAGCCATTGATTGTCAATCCCAATCCTATTCCGAGCCGAGAGAAAAAAAGAAAGAAAAGAAACCAAAAAAGTTCAACCGGCTGACCTCTTTCGGTAATTCCACCATCACAGGATCCAGAAAAATCCCCGCGAACCCACCTTTTTCACGAATCGCGCTCTCACCCGCATCCGTCTCGAGAAATGGGCCGACGTGGAACACGACGCGCGCGCCGCCATCGATCTCTACGGCGGACACAAGAACCCTGCCAGTCTCAAGAGTAGCTGGTACCTGGCGCAGGCGCTAGTGGGACTCCAGCGCCCGCAGGAGGCCTATGATGTGGCGATTGACGGCTACCGCGCCAGTCTCGCGGCGCAGAATGCGCAAACGGAGAATCTGTCCAAGATCGTGTTGCGCGCGAAGCAGCAGATCTGGGCTGCGAAGGAGACATCGCGCCTGCGCGAACTGAACGCGACGCTCGGCAGCGTGGAGCAGCTTATAGAGGCGGACTTGAACCGCGGTCTCAGCGAACTGCAGGAGAAGCTGAATCGCGGAGAGATCGGGGAGATTGGGTGCGGGGAGGACCAAAAGGCTCTCCGGGAGGATGCCGAGAAGAACATAAACAATGTGCGCGAGGCGTTCCGGATTGCGTCCAAGGGGGAGGTTCAGGAACGGGTAAGTCTCTCCCTACTATCCTTGAACCCTATTAAGCAGGCACTGCTTGTCTTAATTCTACTGAGGAAAGATGACGCAACTGACTGGGTTTTTCTGTAGATTGTTCCTGACTACCTCGTCGACGGAATCACCTTCGAGATCATGCACGACCCAGTCATCACCCCATCGGGGACCAGCTTCGACCGCCTCGGAATCACCAAATACGTGCAGCAGTCGGGAGTCGACCCCATAACCCGGGTACCAATGACAGTCAACGATCTCCGGTCGAACTACGCGCTCAAGGCGGCGTGCGAAGAGTTCTTGACCAAGAATGGATGGGCTGTGGACTGGTAGTAGTGCTTGCTGGATATTCCACCTATCATGTCTCCTTTACTGTACTTTTTTTTCTTCTTTATCTTGTTGCAGCGAGATACTGTTTGGTCTGCATAGGTGGCGTTGGTTAACCATTTGGGGGCATGATGTATATAGATAGTGATGACCCGGTCTTGGGACCGAAGGATCGATCGCTGGACTGGACATAATGTGTTGCGATAATTAGACACATGTACACAACGAACGAATCAGTAACACCTGGTGATACGAATGATCACACATGTGACCACTTAGTGGTGTCGTAAAGCTAACATCCAGTACCGGAATCCCAACGTTGAGTTGAGTGAACGGATGAAAAGAGTGTTGTCATTTCCCCCCACCCCACCAAATCCCCCACTTCCCTTCCCTTCCCTTCAACTTCCGCTTCCCCTCCACCTTAACACCTTTCCAAACCCACCACCACCACCGACAAACAAACAAACTCCAACCAACCGATCGATAAATAAACAAACAAACAAAGACAACCAGCCAAAATGTCCCTCGAACCCTTCCTCACGAACCTCTCCTTCGCCCAATCTAAGGCCAAGTTCACCCCCGAGGTGCAAACCGCCTCCGACCCCGTCAACGCCGACCTCCTGAAGGCTATCGTCGAGGCTGTTCTCGCCGGCGGCGACGATGCCTCTGCCGAGGGCGAGCAGGGCAAGGCTCTGAAGGCCGGGTTTGAGTTTGCAGCTGCGTTGGTGAAGATGTTGGAGAAGGAGCCGAGTACGGATGAGAAGCTGGCGGTATTCTTCCCTTTCCTTCTTTGATTTTTTTTTGAAGAGGGGTGTGATGAGGATATGGGTGGTTTTCACAAAGGGAAAGTAAAAACGGGTTGACTGACGTGGTTTGTTTCTAGCTGTATGCGTACTTCAAGCAGGGTCATGGACAGAAGGTTGAGAAGCCCGGCATGTTTGCTCTTGAGGTATGTTTTGCCCTTATTCTTTGAACTAACTTTCTATCTACATGGTCTAACCGAGTTCCACAGGCCAAGTACAAGTACGCCGCGTGGGAGAAGATCAGCCACATCAGCGCTGCCCGGGCCCAGGCCCTGTACATCCAGGAGGTCAGCAAGCTCATCGAGCAGATCGGAACCCGTGACGCCTAATTGCCATACCGATACTGTTTGAGGAATGGAAGGGATACGGAACCCGCATGTGGAGGCTTGAATATGGCTATGTCCGATAGAAATGATATCTCCGATAGTTTGGCTTAAGACATCTGATGAGCATATTGGCGTGTTTTGGTCTGGGTGTGTGTATTGTGTATACTGGTCAGAGATATATTGGTTGGTGTAGGGTCAAGGCTCCTCCACCAGCCATGTCTGTCCCAGCCAGTCGGGCTCGGTGTGGTCGGCGGTTGCGCACCAGGGCACAGCGTCTGGTGCGTACGGGGACAGAGGCAGGTCGTAGGGCATGCGGAGTCCGATCACGGTTGATTGTTCGTGCGGATCCTCACCACTACCCGTTAAATCATCTGGCACGTCGCGTTTGAAGCAGGGAACGAGCGTGGGGTGAGAGCCTGGCTCCGGCCCAGCCAGCAGCTCTGGCCACACCAAAACCCCAATCTCCCAACTGCAGATCCGGACCTCGCCGTTGCGGTTCACCGCGGCGCCCCAAGCTTGCGTGGAGAGGTTCGCAGACGTGAGCATCGCCCAGTCGATGGAGTCCATGGTCTCCGTGTTGGAGAACCTGATGTAGGTTTTGATGTGGGGCGCGGCACGACGACGGCCTGCGTCTTGAAGACGGTGGTTGTCTTCCGCGTTGGCCTGGTCTCCTGCCCAGTGGCAGAGGTAGGGCCGCATGTATTCGAGCTGTTTCTGCTGCGCTGCGCTTTGCAATTTCATGTGGATTGACCCTCCCGAGCCGTAGCCGTTCAGGGAACGGCGGATTTCGTCGGCTGTTGGGAAGATGATGGAGTACTTTGGGTTTTGGGCTGCTGGTGAGGTCTTTGCCGATAGAGATTCGAAGAAGACTTCTTTGAGCCATTTGTCTTGTTGGCCGAGGGTTGCGACTGATGAAATCTGCATGAGTCAGTGATATGAAGACACTATATAGCCCTAGAGTTGGAAGTATGAGTGAGGCACACCTGAGTAACAATATGCGGAGTCGTTCTTGGTTTATCCTGTGCTATTGGTATATTGCGCACCGCATTTCTCAAAGCCGGCCATCCCCAAAGCGGTGTCTTGGAATCTGATGTCTCATCGAGCTTCTGTTTCGACGGCACGCTCGCCACTAATGCCGCACGAACTTCGCTGAAATCATATTGTGCTAGCTGATTAACCAGCGGGCCTGTTTTCTTCTGCCCATACTCTTGAAGATAAGCAAGAAGGTCTCTTTTGAACCGAGCTCCGCTGCCAAAAGCAGCTGAATCCTCGGACTCTGGGCTGTTTTGGGTAGATGGCTTGCGTAGAGGGAGGAGAGGCGAGCGCCAAACGCCTTGAGACATGTTCGCCCAGTCTCCCGGGATCATGTTGGCAGTGTGGATGATAACCCTGCAGTATGAAGTTAATAAAGGTCAAAAATAAAGCGATAGAGCACCATACTGAGCTAGATCATCATGTCTCAACAAGATCATCATCTTGGAATGATGCGTCCCGAAAGGCTCAGGCATGTAGGCCACGATAGCTTCCGCATTCGGATATCGTGCGCAAGCTTCCTGGAGGCTGTTAGTCCGGCCATACAACATGCGATGCGCTCTATAGAACAGAACAGAGAAGCTAGCAGAAGAGACAGGCGTACATCAATTCGCACCCGATTTGGTGCCTCTCTCTTCCACGACCCATGAACGACCTTCACTTGCACTAGTGCTCTCACATCCTCGTCAAATTGACTCATCAAGAAATCCACGTCGAAGAGGTAATTGAACTGCCAACACTCGCGAATCATGGGGTCGCCTAGAATATCACGCAGCCCGATGGTGTCTACATTGTTATTGCTGGAGCGGGGCAGGTCGCGGATTTGGGTGAGTTGGAATGGTGAAGGTATAACTTGGGGTTTAGAGTTATTTTGGGATGTTGATTTTGAAGTCGACCGACTTTTTCTTGGGGTGTTGTTGTGCGATGAGCGAGGGGGTGTGATGGAGCGATGTAGTGATGCCAAGGCCACACGTTCTCGGGGAGGTTGCGGTGGAGATGGACTCTGACTCTCCGTGGAAGATGTAGCAGAAGAAGAGAGTCTAGGCCTTTTAGCCGGACGAGGGAGATCATCCATAACTAGCTTCTCCAGCCACTGCTGTTGGTTTCGTTGTAAAGTAGAAGTATGAGTGCTGATACAACGCTGATAACTTGATACGGATAGTCAACCACGTCGAGCCAGATGTAAAACACAAAAGGTGGTATGTTTAAGCCTGCTATCGTACCCAGTATACCAATGGGTTCCCTCTTATTTTAGAATTTAGATCATGTGCTGCAAGTTGCACACATTGGCTTGGTTGTTGGAGATCGCCGCGTTCTTAGGAATGATGGGGATTGATTGACCTGTTCCTGAACGCTATTCCTCATCGGGTCTAGGTAAGTACCCAGTAGCTAAGGATGTACAATAGCGCGCTGAATATACAAACTCCCAAGACGGATGTCCGAGACACCACCGATGGTGTCAAAAAGGTTAAGACGGCCTTCCAAAGACAGTTGAAAGGGATGGGAGACAGAGAAGAGAGAAGAAGGGGTCTTATATAGACCATCAAGGCACCCACCAGGCCACCAGGCCGGTAAGGCCTCAACCACCACGTCCGTCTCTGCCCTGGCTCATTTCTCCCTAGGAATGGTATGCGAAAGATCATGCCCCAAGACAACGTTCTATAATGACAAGATATACTAGGCAAGTTTTGTGCTATTGTCACAGGTACATACAAAATCATTGAGACTTAATCCAACGATCAGTTTTCGCTATAAACTCCATTCCATGTATGCCACCCAACGCCAGTAACCCAGAGCGATTTGATTCCACTGCCTCATCGCCCACCGCCAATCAGTTTCAATATATGGATTGCGCGTCGCTGATAGCCTGAACACTGCTTTAGATGCGGACGCAGGGTATGGCCCCAAGCATTTCGGCAGAAAAAGGCAGATGCAAAAGGCTATCTATGACACGTCGCAAACCGGGAGGAGCCAGTGTGTTCAAGTAAAAGTAATAAAAGGAGAAGAGCAAGCCTGAGAAGGCATTGACTCGAATATACAGGAGGAAATGCGCTACTCATCACTCATCCGGTCCGCTTCCTCACCGCCAGCGGGCTCGTGATCTCTATCCTCATTCTCTCTAGGCGATTCCGCCTCCTGGACCGCCTCCTCCTCCGGCTCCTCGGGGGGCGGAGGCATCGTTTTGGCAAATTTCGGGTCAATGGCGGCTCTGTACAGACCGCGCTTATACACCTCGGCTTCGTCAGGATCGCGCACCACGACTTGCAGCTGGTCGACTTGGTCTTCCTTTGTCTTGGGGCGCGTAGGCGCCAGACCCGCCTGGGCAATGGTACGTGCACGCTCGGGCTTCAGGCGTGTCTTTCCGAGGATCGGATAGTAATAGGCGGCTTTCTGCTTGGTCGATACTTCGCTTGCCTGCCCTTCCTTCAATTCTGCGGGATCGAAAAGGGTAAGCGCAACGTCTTTTTGTCTGTTATCAGCCCCGAGAGTCTGTGCGCTGGTGGCATAAGTGCGGATGCGTGTGTAACGGTGGAACTTGGAATGATCGGGTCCTTCGTTGGTATATAGTTCTTCGTTGTTGCGGTCCGGATTGGGCAGATGCATGCTCGCCAGGACATCCTTCGCCGAATCCTTCTTCTCAGGTAGGAACAAATCGTAGTCCCACGGGATAGGGCCGGGATCGGGATAGAGTTTGGGATTTGTCTTATGCAAGGTGGCCTTGGTCGCGTGTTCCTGGCAGACACGTTCCTCGGGTGCCGACGGGAGGAGGACCGCAGCATCCATTCGCTTGTCTCGCTTTCCAGAGAAATCTTGAACCGGCGCCTTGTCGAACTTGAACTGAACGAAACCGCCAGGGTCGGGAAACCCTTGCAGGTCGGGCAGCAGAGGGTAGAAGCCAACAGGCTTCAATTTAGGATTATCAGGGTGAACTGGAGTAGCCCATGCATCGTGTTCGAGCTTCGTGGCTGTGTGCCCCTTGATTTTACTCGCTGTGTCGTCGCCCGTATGCTTGCTCTCCGGGTATGCGATATCGAATCCTTTCTGGATGTACTTCTTAACGTAGGCGGGGTCGTCTTGCGATTTCGCCTTATCGTTCTGGCGCTGTTTAGGCCGAATTGGAGTGACCTTGGGCCCCTCCGGTGCACGAACACCGGCGGAAATGTACTGTGTGCGGCGCAAGAAGCTCACGTTCGCGTTCTTCGGAGCGGGGTTCTTCAGCTGCTCCAGCGTCATCAGAAGAGGAAGATCGGCGGGGTCGATAGGATCCGGGTTCTCGGCAGCCATGATCGCTGTAGTTTCACGATGAATTAGCTGAATATCCAACGCAAATTACCCAAAGAGCTGGGGATTCCGGCGGCATACCACTCTCGTCGCCCAAATGAAGGCCCGGGATGCCGACCAAGTCAATTGGCATCCCGCCTTCCGCGTCGACGTCAATGTTCGGTTCTTCGCGACGAGCCAAGTTCGAAGCAAAACCTGGTGTGAGGAGTCGTTCTAAACCTTCGTGGGGAATATCCAAGAACTTCGGGGGCATGTCAGGAGGAGGTAGGTCATTGCGATAGCGCAACGACGCTATGTACTCCTGATGAAAGCCCCCGGAGGAGCTGCTATCCTTAGATTTCGACATGTCAGGTCCAGAACAATCCCCAACTGTGATATATCGCGAGACAATGGGAGGCGCTGGAGACGGAGACGAAGAAGGTATGGCCACTATTGGTAAGGTAGTTAGCGATCTATGATAGCTTTTGCGGTGAGATTTTTTTTGCGACGTACGCGAAGAAGAGAGATACAGTGGTGAAATATCCAATGTTGACACAAGAGATCTGGCGCCTTCCTCACTAAGATCAAATGGACACAGCTCTGGAAGGCCAGAGAGAAAATGTTTAGAGAGATCACTGAAGTTCCTGGTAGAGCACTCTGGGCGCGGATAAACTAACTTGGGGTGGATGGGGTTGTCATCTTGACCGCCTGTTGTTTACGACTAGTGCATTCACGTGACATTGTGTTGGAGAAGACAGGCAGATGAAGGCAGGTAAGAGAACATGGAATAGCTGAAGTACTCTGCTAAGTAGCTCATTTCGCATGAATACATTCACTGAGGATTCTTGAAATGAGATCAAATCGTTTCACGTTTAACAAGCGCCCTGGCCCCATCCTATTCATCTATTCATCTATTGTGGACATTTGCCTTTGCTAAAAGAAAGCTCCTATAATATCAAGCACTAGTATTATTATCTTTATCATATGATTCAAACCAACCATGTAAACAATGAAGCACCGTTAATAAGCCCACATGCACTTGTATGCCATCAACCTATGCCCCAGTCTGTCATACTCTAACTGCCCAATCCAGCTATCGTTGGTTGAGTTCAACTTCCCAAAGATGCTGGCACCCTTCCAGACGACGACCTGGGGGTCAAGATCTCTAGGAGGCGTGCCAATCATGATCTCCTTAGCAAACCCAGGCCGAAGAGCTTGCAGACGCTCCTCCAGGAATGCATGGAAGCCGTTGACCTGGCTTCCACCCCCTACGATCATGATTCCACCCAGGAAATCTCGCATCTTGCGCTCTTCATTCCGAGTGGCATGTGCAATAGACGTGAGGATCGCTTGATCCAGGGGGTAAACCGGGACAATATCATCCCGTTCTTCCACAGTGGGTACACGACGCTGCGGTGCGTTCTGAGCTTGACTGCCACCTGAGGTGCCACCACCCCCAGCCTGCGGCGTGCCGACGGTTTCGGGCCCAGGGGAGCCAGCCACAGAAGATCGTGGCGTAGTAGCTTCCAGCTCCTGTACGCGGCTGAGAGCGTTGACCGGCTGCGAACGGCTTGGTGTCGATTGAACGTCCAGTGTACTCGATTGCGAATCTCCATTCACTTGTGTACTGGCGGTGGGAGGGGCAACCAAAGACAGAATCTCTGACTGCGCTGCAGACGTCGGGTCGTTCGGCTGACCATCGTATATGTCGACTGAAGGGGAGATCAAAGTTCTGCGGTCCTTGATTTTCAAAGAATTGTCAAAGATGGAGGGCTGGAAAAAGCCCATGGGAGCTAGATGGACCTCGTCATACGCCTTGAAAGCGTATTTCCTCGTGTCCTGGCCAGCGACGCGGAGGTGGAAATCAAAAACTTGTACTGAGACACTGGCTTCGTTCATCGTACAAATCTTCTTCTTGAGCTCCTCCGCCAATAGGTAATCGTACCTACGCCACAGGTTGATGTCGGCGTAAGGGAAGTGATCGTAAAGCATCATTTTGATGAACGTCTCTGTCACGTCTGACCCACCGTATTTCAGGTTTACGCGAGAGTTCTCGATGCACATTCCCTCCTCCACGCAGCATATCGACGTCTTTTGCGCGCCAATGTCGACCACACAGGCCGAGGTGAACCCAGCCCCAAAAGTAGCAGCTAGACTCTCTTGGATGAAACAGACGCGGGCGAACGCAAACTCCTTCATCAGCATCTCCAGCATCTGGCAGACATATGCTTTCTCATACAGGTCCGGGATGACAAAGACACATGAGTACTGTGGCCATTCCTTCTTGCTAGTGAGGCCTAGCTGGCTCTTGATTGCATGCTCCAGGATCAGCGAGAAGTCCAGGAACATGAGTCGTTTGCTCTTATAATCTCTTTCGTTGCACCACCCATATCGTAACGGCCAATATAGTTTATAGCGTGGTTTCGACTCGTCTGGGATTCTAAGTGCCGGTTGGCCGGCAATGTGTTCGGGTGGAGGATTCGAAAGTTCGGTCCAATCCACGCGCAATGGATCGTTGTGTTCGGAGATAGGCTCTGGGACAGTTCTTCGGTTATAGTTGATGACCATTTCCTTCGAGTTTGGCAGGGTCCGGCGCTTGTTCTGTCGCATATGCGTCTTCAACTCCGCACACATGGTCGTATACTGTGATGCAAACTGTAAAAAGAGGAACCGGTTAGTCGTGGGATTCTAGGAAGCCCGACGTTGATGACGAACCTCAGGACCGAACTGTTTCTCGGGCTCCATATCAGAGCCATCATCCATCTTCTGCCGCTTGGGATATGGTTCTTCGTGATCCTCGGCCTCGTTCGTAGTGGACTTGTGCGCAATCACCATAGGGACGGTTTTCGGTAAGGCATCGCTAGCCAGTCCGATCCGCAAGTTCTGGCTACCGACATGGATCACGATAACCTTGGACCCAGCCGTTTCCGCCGCAGCTTCTTCGGAATCTTCCATGTTGGTGTCGCCATCACCATCCGCCTCTGGCTCAGGGATACCCAGGTCATTTGCCTTGGCCATAGCCAAAGCACGGTCTCGGTCCTTGGCTGTTTTAGCCATCTGGTTCCGGTTTTCTTCATTCTGAAGCCTAAATGCCAAATACTGGTCGTCCCGTTTTAGATAATCCCTGTAGTCGAAGCAAAGAACCGATCGGTCAGCCAGCGGACTCACAAAATCGCAATTTCAAACCTGGGAGCGGACGGGGACGTACGTATAGTAGTTCTTTTGGTTGATCGCAGGGACTTGAGGCCAGTTGGACAACTCCATATTGTTATCCGTTCGTTCCAGGCCTGGTAAGCAGCGCAAAGTCAGCGCGAGTACAGTAACACCCATTTCTTGCGACTCTCTTACCTTCATCCCGAAGGAGAGCCTTTCCCGATTTCTTTCCGACCATGATGCGTCGGTAATGTTGTGTCAGTTTGGATACCCTAGCTGGGGGACTGTATAGCCTCCAAGGAAAACCCTCCGGATTGAGGGAAAGTCGCGATCGATTGACGATAGGGTGACAGACACAGGCCGGGTTGAGAAGGAGGAAAGTTGTCGGAGATGTCGTTCTATCTCAAGTCGGAGGGAGCGCCCGGAGACACCGTGCCTTGCTGCGGGGAAATAAAGGAGGAGAGTTAGGATGATATTGACCTCATGCGACCCGTCAAAAGCGCCTCAGCAGTCGCAGTCAAATTGGGTCGATCAATAAATTGCGAATAAGTACAGCAGCACCCCCAAGAGATGTAGATAATCGCAGAGTCCCTCCGGTCCATCCCCATCCCGAACGACAAAGCCCAAGCCCGCTTGGACCAGGTGGATCGGCACCACAGAAAGACCGCCGGCCAATGACTGTCACAAGACCGCCCTTGTATTTAGTCAGCTCCCTAGGTTGGACGTTGGTTAATTATTGATTGATCTGTCTTGTCGAGACCGGGATTCCTATTGATTACCTCTGATCTTTCTTATTGACGACCCAAGCACTCTTGTGCTGATACCAGATAACTGACTCTCAGATTTATCAGCATACACCGAGACCTGCCACCCTGTTTTCTGTTTCTAAACGTCTCAGCCTAGGCATCCCGCACTCCCTCCCGTCGTTCATCGCCAGGGCCGCCACTCACAAGACCAAACTACCTTCGTTTCTACCACCGCAAGACTAAACATGGGAGGCTCATTGTCGCGCCTGCTTTCCTTTTTCTGGACTAAAAAGGAGATTCGGATTCTGATCCTTGGTCTTGTATGTTTGTCACAGGCATATGCTGGGCTCCAGGAGGCTTGGGAACGTCATAGCTAATGGATTGTTATCCAGGATAATGCCGGAAAAACGACCCTCCTTTATCGGTTGAAGGTATGTGGGACTCTATGTTTTGTCTGATTTCTGGACATGTCAAGTGGGTGTGAAGGCTAACGACGCTGGTTGGGTTAGATTGGCGAAGTTGTCACCACTATTCCGACTATTGGCTTCAATGTCGAGTCTGTCAGTTATCGGAACCTGAATTTCAATGTTTGGGTAAGTTCACCATCATATCGGATGTACAATAGTCACGGTGGGCTATCGCGAGCAGTAGCTGATTGTCCTTTTTGTTCAGGACCTCGGTGGCCAGACTTCCATCCGACCCTACTGGCGGTGCTACTACGCCAACACCGCTGCTGTCATATTCGTTATCGACTCTACGGACATTGAGCGACTGGGTACAGCTGCCGACGAGCTTGCGGCTATGCTGAACGAGGAGGAACTCCACGACGCGGCTTTGCTGGTATTCGCCAATAAACAAGATCAACCTGGCGCCAAGGGTGCTGGCGAGATCTCGGAGGCCTTGAAGTTGGGCGAGTTGCGAGATAGAAATTGGAGTATTGTCGCATGCTCTGCCATTGACGGCAAGGGTCTAAATGAAGGCATGGATTGGTTGGTGGTACGTGTCATGTGTTTCCACTCCGCTGTTCATCCCCGTACTGATTGTTTCTTTTCAACCACAGCAAACTCTTCAATCAGAAAACGCATAAACGCTGGCGTCTTTGTGTCATGCTATAGAACCCCTTTTTGATATACTGCGCAACTCACTTCCACCGAGGTCCTGGGCATGCATTCTTCCACCGCCTGAGATACCTCTTTTTCTCTTCCTTTACAATTCGGACGCTGTCGCGCCAGACAGAGTCATGTCATTTATACTGTATACCTTTTGATTCCTGGGTTTTGAGACTAGCATAATTTTTTAATTGATTCGATGATGATGTCCAGCTTCTTGACTCGGTATGGCATGGGGATCTGGGGAATGGTGATTTGGCAGAAACTTCTTGAGCCGAATGTGTTGTGGTTCACCTCTTGCATTGTTCGAGCGCATCCGGGATTGAGTATCATGGTCTTCTTTGCTATCTACTTTTTCATCCGGGGAGCTGCTTCTTGTTCGGGGTGCAGGATTGTCATACCCTTTCTGACACGATTGCCATGGCTGATTTGTAAATTGAAGAATACCAGCCATGGACTTCATATACAGGTCAAGCTACACAGATCAAATGAGAATAGAGTTCTGATACCTAGCGATTCAGCAGCTTGGAGATAAGCATTCTCCTTATCTGGTGAGATAGGAGAGTATCATGGATGCGATATCTGGCGATATGCCGATAAGTACGGATTAGAGTGTACTTATCTTGTTAATTGGCTGTTATCGCCGAGTGCTAGTATAGTCTAGCACTATCTACTCCAGGGCTAGGTACCATTTATCTACCTGGACAATCGTATCATCCTGGGGTATCTTATCCATCTTCGAGACCTTTGTTCGCGTCGTACACATTCCATAGCCCTTATTTCACCATCTATACTTGTTGACAAACTATCAACCTGAAGTTTCACGCTGACCAGACCTGATAATATTCCCTTTTACGAAAGAAACCCCAATCCCCCATCTCGGCACCCGGCAACATCTCCATCTAACCCCGCACTTCAACTACACCATGGCGATTCCCCAGACCCAGATTGCAGCGGTGCTCCCCTCCACCGGGGCGACTGCGACAGCTCAATTGGAGATCAAAAAGGATCACCCCGTGCCATTGCCTGCAGAAGGGGAGATTCTGGTTAAACTGGAGTTCTCTGGAATATGCCATTCGGATGTGCATAGTGTTCGTGGGGAGACGCCCATGTTGACGGATGTGGCGGGGCATGAGGGGGTGGGGAAGGTGGTGAAAGGTAGTGTTTTACTTAGACTTCTCAAATGAATATCATGGTGATGATCATGATCGATGTTTAACTGATAGTGCTCAACATGCTAATGTGATTTGTAGTTGGGGCTGGAGTCAATGAGCAGGAGTGGATGGGGAAGAGAGTTGGAATCAGGTCATATTACCTACTCATCCATTGAAAAGGCTTAGTTACATTGATGCTGATCAAAAGCAGATGGCTGTATAGCTCTTGCTTGAACTGTGAGATCTGCGCGGTCAACAATACGGCGTGTCCGTCGCAGAAAAATGCGGGTGCAGTATGTTTTCAATCCTATGTTAAAGTGGGCGTTGGATAAACTTGCACATCAGAAGCTCTGACAAGACATAGAACGTACCAGGGACATTCCAACGTAAGGATTGACCTTCCTCGACCTACATGATTGGTATCTTACCTTTTCTAGAATACCTTGTCAGCCCAGCGATCCATGTAACGAAGATCCCCTCGGAGCTGGCGCCTGATGTGGCCGCGCCGCTGCTTTGCGGTATGTTGCAAGTTGTATTCTCCTTCGAGATGACAGTATCATGTACTCACTTTGTTGTCAGCTGGGATTGCGATGTATTCGTCGATTCTCAAGACAAAGACCCGCCCGGGAGACTGGATCGTGCTCCCCGGCGCTGGTGGAGGTCTAGGACATATGTACGTTGATGCCAGCTGTTTGTGTATAAGACTTCTGTTAATATCGCACCAGGGGGGTTCAGATCGCTGTCAAAAAGGGACTGAAAGTAATTGCGATTGATAGGTTCGTCATCTCATCTTCATGCAGCATTTCCACACCTAACCTGATCGTCTCTCAGTGGCGAGAAGAAAAAAGAACTGTGTCTCGCCCTCGGCGCCACAAGCTTTCTCGACTACAAGGTCGACGACGTTGAAGCTGGGGTAAAATCCTTGACTTCCGGATATGGTGCGCATGCCGTCATCTGTACGGCCAACAACGAAGCGGCTTATACACAGAGCATGCGTTTGCTTCGGAGCCTGGGGGTTCTTGTCTGCGTTGGAATCCCCAGTGCGCCATTTAGGTTACCGGCCACTCCATTTGACATGATAGTCAAAGGTGAGGGAATTTAACCAACCAAGTAGACTCAGCCAGACTAATAATCGTATAGGTCTCACCATTGTTGGAAATTCGGCGGGCACTGCAAAGGAAATGGATGAGTTGATGGAAATGGCTGTTCGGGGAGAAGTGTCGGCACATATCGAGAGGTTCGACTTTGATTGTATTAGTGATGTGTTGCAGCGTCTTGGACGATCTGAGATTGATGGACGTGCTGTTGTGAAGATACCAGAGTAAGTGTCTCGATCCACGATTGCTGTTGAGTATGTCGATTTGTCTTGGTCCCTTCGTGGCGGCCAAAGGGAATGGACTGCATACGTTGGCATTGAGTTTGAAAGTAAGACATGTTGCTTTCAGTTATCTGCGATAGAAAACTTCTATATTTGATAACGAGTCACACCTTTTGAATGTGTGGGACGAATGTAGGGTCTACTAGGCATCTTGCGTCAATAAGTAGAACTGGAAACTTGTAGTAAGGCCCTAGAGCGTAGACGGTTTTACATGGCCTTAACGGGAATCAAAAGTAGACAAGCCCACGTGTCGTTGAAATTCTGATTTGATTTACTTACTGTGATTATCATGCGCATTCAACAACACTGCCCCTGAGCTGGTCCAATACTAATGAACCGCAGACAGTCGCGAAGCCAAAGTGTGCAGGCAACGGGGCTGTTGATTGGCCGACCCACACATACAACGGAATGCATATCAGTCCGGCCCCAACTCCCACTTTCTCCACGCAGATCGAACTCGAGATCCACTGCTTGTCCACACATGTTGGTATTACATGCTCTTACTTGCTGGCTGGACTAGCTTTTTAGGATGTCCTGGCGGATTGAGTCCCCGTCGCAACAACCTCCAACATTGCGAATTACCGAAGATGATCGCTTTAGGAAATGGGTCCTTTACCAAACCCTATGATTTCAGGTACATCATTGACCAGAGGGCCCGTGGGACAGATGGAGCTTGCATAGGGCGATCTGCTTCCCACCCTCCCCGCATCCAATGATTCAATTCCCTGGTATTGAGCCAGTGCTCCTTATCAGACCCAAGCCCATGTGTCGTCTTGATAGGGTCTGGAGGGACTGTCTCAATGTTCGGAGCCACCTTTTACAATGGAGTGGCTGTGGTGGGGAAGCGTCTGAGGGGTTTCGTCACAATTGTTGCGTTTGATTCAAGAAGCCGCTATTTCTCTCGAGCTTGGAAGCGTGGCTATCCGTTTGTCAATTTACCTGCCAGGTGAAATTGGCTCTTCTCTTGGTTAACTTCAACTACCATGGACTTCCTCATCAACAGTCCTGCCGGTGCATTATTAGACCGTGCGGACCGGCTTCACGTATACTGCGCTGCCACTGCCTTTTTGGTATGCGCATTGGTTGTTACTGTCTTCCTGTTGTCGGCCAGGAAGCAGAAACTCGACCACAACAGCGGGATCTTTACATACCTCAAGTTTGCCTACGCGACGTTTCTCAAACCACATGACAAAGGTGGAGAAAGCCAACAGGATGCATTGGAGAGCTTCTACAAGACTCAGGTATGGACTGCTTTGGGTATTGCTTGTCAGGACTCCTTGATTGACTGAACAGGCTGGCGTATACGATGCAACCCGCAAGCGTCTGCTATGTGGTCGAGAGGATATGCTTGGTCTCACTGCCGCTCAATTGAAATACAAGGTGGATAGCAAGGAGCTGCGAGCTGGAGAGGCCGTCTGGGTTGATGTAAGATACCATCACTTCTTGTGGAAACGAAGTCAGTACTGACTCATGACTAGATTGGCGGAGGCACTGGGTAAGCTTTCGAAGAGGTAATTGGCTCAACACGGACAAATCGACTGACGACAAACTAGATACAATATCGAAGCCATGTCGGCATTCTTGCCTGTCCCACAATTTTTCTCCCACGTCTATCTCGTCGATCTTTCGCCCTCCCTTTGTGAAGTCGCCCGTGAACGGTTCCAGCGATTGGGCTGGAAAAATGTTACTGTTGTCTGTCAGAATGCGGGATCTTTCCGCTTACCAGACGAAGACAGTGTTGACCCCCGTGCATCACTATCGGTTGGTGCAGACTTGATTACTATGAGCTATAGCTTGTCGATGATACCAGGTATGTACATTCTGACATCATATCCCTTCCATCGGTTGTGCTCACTCATGATAGATTATTACAACGTGGTCGATTCGTTGACAGATTTAATGAAGCCGTCAGGCCTTCTGGGTGTCTGCGATTTTTACGGTAAGTTGTACCTGATCCAAGCAGTTGCACGTACTAATGAACGGATTAGTGCAAAGCATTGTCGATGTGTCCTCTCGCAACTATATCGGCGGTGCCTTCAACCGCCACGTCAACTGGCTTGGTCGAGTTTTCTGGCGCGCATGGTTCGACGTTGATCGTGTGAGCCTCGAGGCCGCTCGAAGGGACTACCTGGAGTACCGCTTTGGCACGGTCATCTCCGCCAGTGAGAGAAACTACCTCCTGGGAGGTATTCCATACTACATCTTCGTTGGATGCCAGAAAGACATTCGATCGTGCAACTCTGGACATGACTCTATTGAAAAACTGGACGCTTCTTTCACAGAATCGCCTTATCTCTCTCCTGCTGACCATCGCAAGGGGGTGGAAAAAGCGGAAGAGAAGAGTGCGTGCGAGATTCGCTCTAAGGCTTACGAATCAGCTGTCATAAACCTGGGGTCAAATCTACCACTCCCCTCTGCCTTCTACCAGAACCACCACTACCGGATCTTCTACAATGACCTACTTCCAAAGCATACCCAGTTTGGAAATGAGTACATCTACGCATTTACCTGGGAAGACCCCCGAGTTGACCACAGACTGCTGAACATCCAACGTGACGACGTCATCTTGGCCATCACCAGCGCAGGAGACAACATCCTGGACTATCTCCAGAAGAGCCCTCGCCGAGTGCACGCAGTCGACCTTAACCCAAATCAAAATCACCTGCTCGAGCTGAAGGTTGCCAGCTTCGAGGCCTTGGGCTACCGAGACACATGGAAGATCTTCGGCGAGGGCAAACACCCCGAATTCCGGCAGCTTCTGATTTCCAAACTCAGCCCTCACCTGTCCAGCCAATCCTTCCAATACTGGCTGGAGCACACACACGTCTTCACATCCAAGTCCGGCAAGGGACTCTACGAGACCGGAGGCTCACGCCACGCCATCAAGATGGTCCGCCACCTCTTCACGATCTTCGGTCTACAAAGTCAGGTGCAGAAGCTCTGCGAGGCACAGACCATTGCTGAGCAGCGTCAAATCTGGCCCCGCATCCGCTCAGTGCTTATGAGCAAACCACTCCACTGGGCCGTGGTTGGAACCGAGTGGTTTGCATGGAAGGCTGCGGGCGTTCCCCGTAACCAGCGGAACATGATCCTCGACGACTACTACAAACGGAATGGGCTGTCGGGGGATGAGAAGCAAGCAAAGGATGTCAGCGGCCAGTCTATCTGGGAGTATGTCGTCAACACGCTGGACCCAGTTGTCAATGATACCCTCATCAGCAACGACAACTATTTCTATTTCCTGTGCCTGCAGGGCCAGTTCTCACCAAAGTACGCATCCGCTTCCTCTTTCCTATCAGCCATCACTCATTGACATTCCCTCTCCCAGATGCCACCCCACCTACCTATCCCCAAGAGCCCACGTAAAACTCTCCTCCCCAGGCGCTTTCGACAGCCTCCGCATCCACACCGACGAAATCAACGAAGTGATCAAGCGACTCACCCCCAAGAGTCTCACCATCGCCGTGGTAAGCCCT